ATGGAAATGTTATCCTGCTGTTATTTTGAAAATAATTATATAAGGAAACCGAGGTACCCTAAGTACACCATGAACGATGTAATTGGAATATAAGTATATATGGAGGCTAAGTATATGGTATGCTTATGTACACCTAGCTAAATTAGTGCGTTTTGCACTTTCCAGATTCAGAAAATGTTTACTCATTTATGTAATGTAATGGCTATGTATACACGGGTTATTTTTTCTATATACTTAGCTAACTTGTTAAGTATACAAAGTTTTAAATTACGTTAATTTAATTATATTATGAATCCAAGCGTATATAAATTTACAATTTGTGTACACGGTATATTTTATTATTGTCATTTAATATTGTTGTAAATAGTAAGTTTGGAAACTAATTAAATTTGGAACCAAGTATATTTTAGTCATTACGTCCGGATGTAAAATTTTATATAAATTAATCCAAGCATATTTTTTGTATACCATGGTTTCTAAGTATATCTATATTTCAAATGTGTGTACTGTAGATTATTAGAATTTAAAACTCGCCTACCTAGGCTGACAGTACATTATTTCCTAATTAAATTTGGAACCAAGTATATTTTAAGTCGTTACGTCCGGATGTAAAATTTAATATAAATATATCCAAGTATATTTTTGTACCATGGATTTTAAGTATATCTAAAATTTAAATGTGTGTACTGTGTATTATTATTTCCACCATGTTTTTCCATATGTGCCGATTTAGATTAAATTCAATTTCTTTCCACAGTGTTTTAGATGCGCTTTTAGAAGTTTAATATGCTGAATTGGAAGAGTAGATCTCTTAAGTGAAGTCTGAAAGGAAACAAAATATCGGTGAATTGGCTCATCCACATATCATAGGAGTTTAGCATAATATAAATGAAACATATGCTAATTAAAGTAAAAACGATCTATAAATATAAATATAGATGTAACTAGTTTATTATTACAGTACGATTGTGATTCATAAATGTAAAAACACAAAATGGCTGCTTATTTGACCGATGGCTGGCAACCATATCACACCATCAGAGAGTTGATTTTCGGCTGGTACTTGCATGTTGCCTCATGTTTGCTATTCAGACGGTGGGCGAGTCTCATTTCTCATCACTAGGATGAGAATTTATCATCACTATGACGAGAAATGATCAACTTAGGAGCCTCCACCTCCCTCTTGACATCTTTACGGTCTGTATCTATCTCCTACGAAAAAAAAACAAGTGGAAAATGTTAAGAGCAGGAGTGACAAATCCAGAACTGGAGCTGAACGTGAACCAAAAATATATTAAAATAAATTACCTGTGAATCATTGGGCTTCGTTTCATCGTCTATTAACATCTGCGCCTTTTGGAGATATGCATTCTCCTCTTGAAGACCATACTCATTGACTAGGGCCGTCCAAGTATCTTCAAAATCACTTGCTGTGCGTGCATGATATAAGTTGTGTAGTTCTGACTTCGTACCAAATAATATGTGCCAACGGCAGCGTGGGTGATCATACTTCTGCAGCGACTGATCGATCTTCTCGCTCCGGGCACTAGTGTTCATCTTGTCCATAGCTACTGGCAATATAAGTATAAATTTCAGAATACTAAGAAGAGGTCAACATATATGAGAAGTACATATACGTACAGATAAGTTGGAGCCATACCTGGAACAGAAATGTGTTGTTGGCGAGAACCAGAGAGAGCACCAGAAGTGAGCAGAGTCGTATTGTTCTGCTCTTTATATGTTGCAATTGTGTCTCCGTTGGAAGGAATGAAAAAATTAATATCATTACCAAGTATAAAGATCTTATTTATGGTAATATTTATAGCTATTACGACCGATAGGTTACATAATATAATTTGTTACCGTCAGCATGGATCGATCCAGTCAGAATTGGGTATCAATTGATTAATTTAGTAACCAACGAGTGATTTCGGTACTAATTGGCCATAGTCAACGGGATAGAGAGAGAGTGAAAAAATGCACGTCTGAATACCACAAGATTAATGACATAATCTGTACTTTTACAGGTGTACATGTACACATAGGTTTATGAGTGACAGAGCGAACACGTATACATGTATATCCCACAAGATGAATGACATAATTATCTCAGCTACCAGCTCTTTCTTTTCAGCACTAAATCTCTGTATGATAGGTGTGATGGAAGATGGTACACAACGCGAAACCGGTGCCACGAATTTAACACGAACAGCCTTCTTCCTTGTAGGTGGAGTGACAAAGTCATCATCATCGTGAATGGAACGACGCTTCACATTTCTTCTCATGCTCGCACACTTTGGAAGCCGCGGCATGCTATTAAAAACTACCATTATTAAAACAAGCAATATGATTCTCTTCGGGTCATATACTTCAATTTAAAATTAATTAAATCTATATTTACAAAGATTATAATTGAGATGTCCACGTAAAAGAGACATTGCTGCTGTTTCACTACCTACCTAAATTTTATTCACTGGATGCAAATCAAGATATTCGAACGGGCATGTTATATACCTAAAACAATCTAAATTCAACTGCATTTCAACAAAAAATCTATAAATTTAGGTTCCAGGTGATTCATCATGTGCTCAGTTTAGTAGATAAAAAGAAGAGGAATGGCGAATCATCTATACATAACAGGGACTGCATGTGAATGTAAGATGTGTGAGTGATAAACACTGAGATCCATACCTTTCAGGTAATGCAGCTTGCTAGTGAATAATGTCTGTTCCGAAGCTCACGAACAACCAGCGACGGCAGCGAAAAGGCACTTGGACATCAGGCGCTGTGATGGCTTGACAAAAATGGTTGAGGAGTTCTGGTTTCCAGCAAGAGGCTTGTGGACGAACGTCGTCGGTGACGAAAACCACGGACGTCGGCCCTCTTCACGGCATGGCGAGCAATCCCGGCGAGGTAACTCGGTGAAGACGATGTGGATAGCTAGCTCTTGGACCGTGAAACAGTGTGGAAAAGAAAAATCAAAAAAAGGAATACAGTAGCCGGTTATATGTGCATCTTGAAAATGGAATGTAATCTTGAAAATAGATGGCAATAATCGCAATTAGTGGAATGGCGTCATTTTTCAAAAACGAATCATGATTCAAAAGGTAAGTATCTGCATGCAAACGTTGTATATATGGAAATGTGATATAGAAAATGGAAAGTGCTAATCATAATGTGTATGCATGATTAGAGGGCGCAAATTTGGAAATACATGCACAGTAAAAATGGAAATACCTGCATGCATGTTCTAAGGAAAGTATATGCATGCAACTCTTATCGGGTTAGACCCGTTAATGTGTGATAGCATCCTCTAGTGTGTTGCACGGATCTTAAAGCATTTGGACGGTGGATGGCTATGGAGCCCGGGCACCATGGTGCCCCTAACAAATTTACTATATATATATATATATATATATATATATATACATACTATACCGCATCTGGCGTACGTAGTAGCTAAAATGCTCCCCCTCACATCCTACCCCCACCCCTCCCAACCCACCCCCGTGCACCCCAACCACCGGCGCCCCCTACCCCTCCCAAATTTACTAGTAAATTGTTTACTATCGAATCTACATGCTATATATATATAGACTAGCAAAAGTGACCGTGCGTTGCACCGGGTGTTTACGGAGTGTGTATAGCGATCAAAAAGTATTGTTTGGTTTAGAGAACTAATCTGCTCAAAAAAAATTGTTTGTTTTTAGATAAATAATATGCTCTATATTTGCGCACAGAGTGATGTCACGATGGATAAAATTTAACTGAACAATTTTTTAAACAGTCTAGTATTTCAATAATAATCACAAAGTTTTTTTTAAAATATTCCACTTTACATGTGTATGATATGAGCGATGTTCCTGACGCGTTAGCGTAACGATTGTACTACGGTGGATAAATTTAACTGATCGATTTTTAAGCAGTTTAGTATTAAAAAATAATAATCACAAATGTTTTTTTACAGTTATTCCACGTATACGTGGATGATATAAATGTTGTACCTGATGCATTGGCGTAATCTCTAATTTCGAAATCTCTGCCGATTCGCGTGCAAACAACCCCTCCACGTGGCACAATACGATTCCAGCGTTAGTCCTCTCCCTCAGCCGTCGGATCGATGATCAACGGTGTGGAATAGCTGCGGTGGACCTCTTTGTAATATGTGAGGTTTTAGGGGTCTTTTTGAAAAAGTTATACCCTGCTATGCCCTTCTCTCCGCCGGCAGCCCCGCCCCCGCTTCCTCCGCCTCATTCGTCGGAGGTCGACCTACGCCGATGTCGCCGCCTCTTCCTCCTCCTCACGCTCCAGCTCCAGCTCCACCTCCGCCCCTCCGGCGCCCGAGGCCGACCCTCCCACGCGCCGGCGCGCTGTTCTGTGCGTCTCTCCCCTCAAGCTCGGCGGCAGTGGCACAGATTCACCTCGTCGCTGGATGTGGCGATGAATTCGGTTGCCGTGCTTGGGGATGGGGAGGGTGAAATCACGTGCATCGCTACGTCCGTCTTTGCCTGCCTTTTGATTCGCCAGCCGCCTCTCTCCCCAAGCCGCGGCACCGAGGGGATCTTGGACGGAGGCCACTGGCCGTGCCGCAAAGGGCGTGGCTGAGGACCGCGCTACCGCTGCCGGATGACGTCATGCAGGAGCAGGAGCTCCCTCCCCTGCTTCCCTATGTGTTCACACCACAGGTGATTAATTCCACCTGTAAACGGAATCGGAATCGGAATATATAAAGCGGCGCACATGGGGCGAGCGAGGAGGGGTGCCACGTAAGGATTTTGCTACAGTATATACAGCGCGCGGGGTGGCATTTTTGTGAAAAGGCCCTCCGCTTCGCGCGTAATTCGGCCGCCGTCCTCCATGAACAGTCCCACCGAGTTGTCTATTTACGTTTAGGCCTCTGGTGAATACAGTTATTGCATAGGAGGAAGGGAGATGTGGCGAGTTAGGGTCGCGCTGTAAAACTTGAAAGACGAGGGTCTTTTTCGCAAAAACGCCGTGCGCCCAGCCCCAAGCCCCCAACCTGCCCGCCGCTGCCTGCTCGTCTCCTCGTCCCTCCCGTCCCCCGTCTCGCCCTCTCCCTCTCCTTCTCCCGCCTCGCGTCGCCGCCGCCGCCGCCGCCCCGCGCGCCGCCCCTCCTCCCTCTCCCTCAGCCATCCTCCTCCTCCGCCGCCGGTCCATTCTCCGCCCTTCACCGCCTCCGTTGCCGGCCACCACTGCCCCCGTCCACGCCTCGCGTCGCCGCCCCCATCCCCGTCCCCGCCCCGTCGCTAGGGTTTCGTCACGAGCGACCTCCCGCCGTGGAAGCTTCCACCTTCCTCCTCATCCTTGTCCTCACGGCCGCGGCGTTCGCGGCGTAGGCGGCGGGGGACGGGTGCAGCGCCGGATGCGAGCTCGCGCTGGCCTCCTCATCCTCGAGCGCCTCCACCCCAATACTTTCTTCGTCCTCGCCTCGTCGCGTCGCTCTGTCTTCTCCCCTCCCTGCCTCTTCGGTTGATGTCTTCATTTCTTCCCCTTTCGTGCGAATGGGACCAACGGCGGATCAAGCGAGGGCGCCGCAGATCGACTGGCGGCACAGCTTCTCCCCATCCTTTGGTGCTGCATTGCTGGTATCATCGTCGTGTTTCCCGCTGTTGGTGCGTGTCTCACGGAGGTAAGGTTTGCAGCGTGCATAATGATGTGCGGTTGAAGTTGAACTCAGTTTTGTGTTCCTTTTTTGATATTTCGATTTTCTTCTTTTCATAGAAAGAATGGATTGGAGTAAATCAGCAGCGGTGTGGATTGTGCTCTGACCTCGGCAGGGGCGGATACAAGAACACAGCGATGAGATCCGGTGCGGTTTGTGGCGGACCAAGCATGCCGGCCGATGGAGATGGTTCTCTGCATCTACGCATTCCCCACCAACATGCCGCCCTTCAGGTACAAATCAAGTCTGATAAAACACTGCCATCCTTCTTGTGTTACATGTTCTGTGTTACATGGTGGCCTCCTCCTCCACCACAGCGGCGGTGTCGGCAAACAGATTTGAGAGGTAAAAACATCCCTTCTTGTGTTGCTTTACGGCCATATTTGAGAGGAGAATGGCATGATGCTGCAGTTTGATTTCACCGGCTTTCCTGCTTGCCGTATTTGTAATCTCAACTTTCATTTCAAGTGATTGTTGGGGCCAAACCTATGGTGGCTAGTCGCTGAGGTGGTGTCATTAATGGAGGCAAAGAGTGGCAAGTGGTGACCAAAGCGGAAGGACCTGGTGTGTTGCGCGTGCGCCGGCCACTGGCGGTGCGAGGCCACGGCGACGGTCATGCTGCCATTATCCAAGTATGGCTGCTGACCAATTTCTTCCCTGAAGTAGGTGAGGTTAGCCCGATAGGAACACATACCACCTATATTGTGATATTTGGAGCTAGGGCACATTCAGTCCTGTTATTTGATCTGTAGCATCAAGGTTGTAAAATTATCAGTTTTGCAGAGGATTTTTGGTCATCAAATTGGAGTTGATGATATTTTTTGAGACACTGAATTAACTAATATCAAATATATAATCTGGATTTCCCTTCAACTCAAAGCTTGTTGTTGTCTTGTTGTCTGCGTGCATGCTGGGGTGGCTCTTCTGCGGGCGATCAAAAGGGCAGTGACAGCATGTATTGACGAACGCAATGTGCTTGCTGGCCGAATAGACATGAACACATATCACTGAGAGGGAGTGAAACAGTGTTGACGAGTAGCCTGCTTTTGGGTTAGTTCTTGATCAAGCTAAAATGCACTTCTTTTTCTTGATCGGTATAAAGGGCACCCTTTTTTTTTCTTGCAGCATTTTCATATGCACCCAATATTGCCCACACGGCCACACCACCATCATCTATAGGCAAGTAGTATGTTCATGTGCAAATTTTGCAGGGATCAAATAAATGTCATTTCCCTGATCCATTATTTGGCTATCTCGTGTACTTGATGCCGATTTTTAATTTCTTATTGCTGCATGAACTATTTCTTTTGGACAGTCAGAGTCTCAATCCTTGCCATCATTAACCGAGAATCTTTTTTCCATGATTCTTACTGTTTCAGGTGATAGAAATAGCATTGTAGTAGGGTGGTAATAGCAAGAAGCCGAAAGGTAAGGATCAGGCTATAACGTTGGGGCATTGGCAACTCAATTAAAAGGTAAGTATCTATTGGTCACAGAGCTTGACAACTTTGAATCTTTGATGATCGTATTGTACCATTGTTTCAGTTGTAGTGGCCATTGTTCCTGTTAAATGCAAGTTGATACTAATAAACCCATTGAATAGAGGCCTTCATATAATTCAATGTTTAAGAGAAACCAACCGTGGACTGGAGCTCTCAGATTAGTTTATTCAAGCCACTTTTTTCTAGCATGCAATTATTTCGTGGCTTATTGCATTCCCTATAATTTTCATTGACTTAGAGGAGGTTTGGGGCTTTTTATTTTTAATGAGGTGCAACAATCTGTCCATCTCACTCGTTGGTGCAATTACATTTTTTGCTTGATTTTCTTCACTGCTTTATGACGACTGAGATAAAAACTTATCTGTGCAGCTTCATGTTTCTGATGCAGGGGTAGGGTAGTTGTCTGGTTGTTCATGTTCTGATTTAACTCATTAGTGTTGTGCTAAATGGAAGGTCAAGCTGCTCTACATGCAGGCAAGAACAGACAAGCCTGAAAATTTTTGTGGCAAATTCTTAGCTCAACCTGAAATTCCGAAGCTGAAATCTGTATTCAGTCTTCAACTCTATGCTCCGACGACGCTGGCGCCGGCTCACGACTTCTGGCTGCTGCGGTACACCTCCATTCTCGGTGATGGAAGCTTAGTGGTTAGTTGTCTGATCATGGAGCGCAAAACAAATTATCCATGTGCTGATGTGCAATTAATACCAAAGTATTTGTGTGTCACTATGATGTCTTGTCTGCTTGCCTGAATGTTCTTGTTCTGAATTCTGAAGGTGTGTGAGAGATCACTCAGTAGCAAGCAAGGAGGCCCAAGCATGCCACTTGTCCAGCCTTTTATCAGAGATGAGATGCTTCCCAGTGGGTTCTTGATCCGACCTAGCGATGGTGGAGGCAGCGTGATACACATCGTTGATCATATGGACCTGGAGGTAATAACTAATAACCATTACAATTTCTTATCCAAATAGTTCATTCATCTAGCAGAAAGAAATTTCAGCCAATTTTTTTGTGTTCACAGCCTTGGAGCGTGCCTGAAGTTGTGCGACCTCTGTATGAATCTTCTGCCTTGGTTGCGCAGAAGATATCGATGGCGGTACAGTAATTATAGTACCCTGTTCTTGATGTTCTTGTTGATTTGTAAAAATTATTGCCTAATTCAGTCATGCAAAATTCAGTCTTTACGCTGCCTGAGGCAGGTTGCCTACAAAGATACCCGTTCTGTGATCACAGGATGGGGAAGGAAGCTTGCGGCTTTGCATGCTCTGAGCCAAAAAGCTCACCACGTAGGACTCCTGAACAGCAGATGCTTCTTGGTTCTTGCCATGAATCTTCAGTTCAAAAGTGTGAAAAATAATTTTGCATGCTCTCTTTTCAGAGGCTTCAATGAAGTTCTCAATGGGCTTGCGGATGATGGATGGTCCGTGATCGAGAGCGATGGCATCGACGATGTTTGCATCTCTGTCAATTCATCCAAAGTGACCGGTTGCAATGCAACATTCAGCAGTGGACTCACTATTGTCAGTACCGGTGTTCTTTGTGCCAAGGCATCCATGCTGTTGCAGGTTAGCTTCACTATGAAACTAGAATTAGTACTTTCTTTTTGTTTGTTTTGTAATTGCCAATATTTTTCATACAATATTTCTTCTGCTGTTTGCTAGGATGTCTCTCCTCCATCACTACTGCAATTTTTGCGCGAACACCAGTCACAATGGGCTGACGATGAAACCAAACTTCTGCAATTTACCCATGTCTCGTCTTGGAGGATTCAGTGGTCAGGTCATACTTCCTTTAGCACACACTTTTGAACCTGCAGAGGTAAGTCCATCTTCTACTGTCTGTCGGTTACAAAAAAGGTCCTGTCCAATTCTGTTTTCCTGCTCGATGTTTTGGTGCAACCATCTACTGTTTCAGTTCCTGGAAGTTATCAAGCTAGGAAACACCAGAAACTACCAAGATACACTGGTGCACCGTGATCTGTTCCTCTTGCAGGTGACTTCTTGATTCATGAAACTTATCACCAGTTGAAGAATCATTTTCTTTTTTCCTCTGTAAAACTTGTGTTCTTGGCCTGATTGCAATGGCAGATGTACAATGGAGTAGAGGAGAGCAGTGCAGGAACATGTTCAGAGCTAATCTTTGCACCCATCGATGCATCGTTCAGTGATGATTCTCCGCTGCTGCCTTCCGGTTTCTACATCATCCCTATCGATTCTCCTCTGTAAGTAAATCTCACACAATTAGATAATACACTAGCATTTCGAATCAAATTTTCTAAAATTTTTATGCTATAAAAAACATAATTCTTCTGGATTTTCTTTCCTTGCAAATGTTAGGACACATCTAGCTCGAACTGCATGCTAGATCTCGCTTCCATGCTCGAAGCAGCGACGCCATGGAGCAGGATCAGCGGCATCAATAGCAGCGGCGAGCTCCAAGGCGGTGATGACGATCGCGTTCCAGTTCGCGTTCGAGAGCCACCTGCAGGGCAGCGTGCCCGCCATGGCGCAGCAGTACATGTGCAGCATCATCTCATCGGTGCAGAGGATTGCCGTGGTGCTCTCATCCTCCCGCCTCGTCCCTCCCGGCGTTGCCGCCGCCACGCAGCACGCGCCGGCGACTCGGTGCTGCCCAGATGGATTTGCCAGAGCTATAGGTTTGTGGCTTCGCAGCTGCTTGTAATACAGTTCATATCTGTAAGATTTTTTAAAAAAAAACAGTTCGCTTTTCAGAACTCATGATGCTTTGCTTATGCAGATTTCATTTTGGAGCTGAACTCATCAAATCTGCAGATGCCAACAGCAGCAGTGAATCGGTTCTGAAAGCAGTTTGGCATCATCCCAGTGCCATACTCTACTGCTCTCTCAAGGCTTCTTCAGCCTCTATTTTTCTTTTTCTGATTAAGATACAGATTTTACCTAGATTTTTATAAATTCGTTTTTTTAAACTGTTGAACTGTATATTTCGAACGAAAAAAATTTATATAGAAGCTTTAATTATAAGATAAATCTATTTTTCAATTTTAAAATAATTAAACCTTAATTAGTGAGATGTTAATGATTTTCTCGTTTTACCTGTCCGAACTTAATCTTTTATCTTAAACTCGAATGGGGCCAGTACTCAATACTGTTATGCATGGAGGATTGTTTGTTATCTCAATTTATTTCAGGGACTTTTGAATCTTTTGTGCAGCTTGACTGAAATTTTGTTGACACAAATTCACCTTAAAGTTGACAGTGTTGCACACCATTAACCATTTGATTTTTCATGTAGGTGATGCCAGTGTTCACGTTTGCAAACCGAAGACGGAGGCGGCGCCAGGCACAAGATGGCGGAGGAGGTGAACAAATCTATGATCATCAGGAAAATCAATCAAATTTATGTTACCTAATCTATCCAACAAGTGAACAAATTGGAGGCAGCTAAGACTACATAAGAAATTGAAAAGCACGGCCATACTCTTTTGACTAAGTTTCGAAGTCAGGCTTGCAAGGATAGACTAAAGCTCTTATATCAGTCTTTCTTCTCTTAGCAAATTCTCATTGCTAGATCTCAGATCATCTTGCAAACCTCTTATATCATTTATATCATTTTCCATATGCAAATCTGTGGTTCATCTCTAAATTGTAATGACTGGGTAAGCTCTCTGGTCCTCCCATGTCCTTGACAATAACAGTAATATCCTTCAACTTTTCAACTTATCTTCATTCTCACAGGTAAGTCTTGTAATTCATCTTCTATTTGTGCTAGCCTTGATGTTAAGTCTGCATTTATAACGGTACTCTCTTGAGTTTCTAAACTAACTTCATCAATGGATTATTTGACAGGTGATGCCTGGTAAGTCTTGTAATTCATCACAGGTAAGTCTTGTAATTCATCTTCTATTTGCTGCACTGGTGATGCCTACAAAGAGCTCACTGCGACGAACTTCATCAACTCAATTCTGAAGGTCGACCAAAACAAGCAAGATTATCTGACGATACAAAATCATTAGAAAGATCTAAATTATGTGTATTTGCAATCCGGTGTGCGTTTGTGCAGGGGTCAGGCATGAGAGAGGATATTGTGTGTAGGTGATCGATGGATGCTATGAACTACCTCTGCAGTTAGAAATGTGTTAGATCTTGTCTCTGCAAAGATGAACACCTTTTCTTACTTGTTCAACTCGATCAGCATGCAGTATCCTGTTCAATTTTTTTCCCCTTCAGCCATTCAGAAATTCAGAAGTGGCTATCATGCTTTAATTTTGTTTCAATCAGTAGTAGTATTTGTTATCTTTGAGGGACAGATGGGCTTGTCTCTTGTCAGCATTCACCTTAGCTTTACCTCTTACTAGTATATTTTATCACTGAGTGCGTTTATGCTCATAGGGCATATATATCTTATGTTGGATATAAGTTTTTTTTTTTTTTTGTCTTGTTTAGTTAAACTGAAGATGCATGGCCGACTGAACATGAGAAAAATATCATTTCGTTTGGAATGTCATGGAAAGCACTTTCTGAATGGCTAACAGGATATAATAAATATCAGCTCTCACCTTTGTCCACTATTGATAGAAAAGGAAAGGCAAGAAGATTGCCTTAATTAACCTAATTGTCATCAAATCAAAGTGGCCGGCTTATCGAGAACCTAGCTTTGTCTAGAAACTTTGCCTTGAAATGAATTGAAAAATCATGCATGCACTTGGCGTGTGATTCTCCTCCTTCCTATTGACAAAATACTTTTCGCCATGTCAACGCCGGAATGATCAGTATACACTATCCATTGATGCAGATTACTGGCGAACAAGAGCAGCAGCTCTTTTCCTTTTAGTTCTTCTTAGCTAGATATGAGAAATTTTCTTGGCCAAACATTGTAGAGTTTAAACAAAATTCTTCGGAACTTACATGCCGGCAAGCAAAGGAACACAACAAAGTTTAGCCTAACTTATATATTGACCGATTAAAATCTGTTATGCATGTTAAGAATTGAGACAGAAATTTAAGCCAAAGAGATTAATCTCTCGTAGAACAGCACGCAAATAACAGACATGACAACAAGGAGCGGTAATTAATTGAGTATACCTGTAGTGGTAGTAGTGGTAATTAATTGAGTATACCTGTACTTGGGCCTAATCGGTGGCGCCTTATGCTGCGTTGTACTCAAGCCCAAAATCAATTGGGCCTTTCCAATTGAGCCAAGCCCGAAAACCTAGAAGATAAGACAGAACATCGGAGACTTTTGATTGGAGCTTCTCTGTCCCGCTGTCCGGAATGGTGCACTGTCAGCTATGTACAAAATATATCTTGAACTCCCTGCTGCAGAAGAGTTCAGAGTTGAGAGGGTATGATCTGCACACTAACATATTATTCCTGTTGCATAGATATTGTTGGATTGTCACTGTGTGTAAGACAAGTATTCTATATATACTATATAATCAGTTTTCTTTGGTAAAAAGTTATACTGTCTTGCTATGCTAGTCGATGAATCTGATGGCGGGCATTGTTCTGAGAATGAACTTAGAAAACACATTCGTTCAAAAAAAAAAAACAGTTTGAGGCAGCGGGGAGCAGATCCAGTTTGAGGGAGGACTCCAAGTGGTGAAAAATTCATCAACTCATTACTTGAAACAAACAGGTTCAAAGAGTTGGATCATTGTTTTGTGTTTAACTCAAAGGCATAAAGACAATTAGTGCCACATAAATAAGCCAACATCCCCTCAAAAAATAAGCCAACATATATTAATGTTATTCACGTCTACTCCTACTTTTATCATCAACCCAAAGTAAGCAACCTGGATAAGATTCTTGTCACAAAACTATATATGCCCAGCAACAGCACAACTCCTTAACCCCCATTCAAGCCAACAAACCACTGATACGATAATATTTGCATCCAGGCAGGCTGCAGTATGATGCATATATGTCACTGGGTTCGCACATTCTACTCGGCGGCTTCTGCATCCTCCTCAGGTCGTCCAACTCTTGTGTCTACATCAAATAAAATAGCTATTATCTCATAAAATGTCCTTGAAGCAAGAATTAGTACTCAAGAGGAAGAGCATTCATGTTGTCCACATTGAGTACAACAGGAAAAGCAAAACCTAAAGCAATATACTACTTTTTCAAGTATGCTTTGGTCAAGTACTACCTTATTATTACTTGCTCTATTCTCTTGTTCTTTTGACATGGTACGAATGCACTTTGATTAATTACTTCATATTTAAATGCATGCTAGCAAAATATATTACACGCATAATGACAAGGAAACAAGAGTGACGACACATTTACTGCTATGAATTTTCACGAAGAACGCAAATAATTTTATGCATTAGTCGTCGACATTTTAGTGGAGGTGTCTTTATTCTGTTAACAGAGTTCAGGTTTTGTTTTTGCAAGTACAGTTAGAAACACAACGTTTGTCTGAAACTCACACAAAACAGTATATTGCATAATGAGTATTGGTACTACTCTGCCAAAAGGACTCTTGGTACTGTTCTGCCCTTGTATCAACATATCAAGCCTATCACCCTAAATAAAGTTACTACATTCTAGTCCTAGTTTGGTCATTCGGACCATCATAAACAAAGAACTATAATGATCAGCCCTAGATCCTTAAATGGCATTTTATTACCCATATGCACATGGCGCTGCATTTGTTCTGGAATACGAGCGGTAATTAAGTACCTGTGGTAGTGTTGAGGCGTTTGGAGATCCCAGTTGCAAGGTAGCATCGCATGGAGTAGAGGGTGTTCTTTTCGGGGTCAAGCTTGGCCACTCCTCGCAGCTCCTTGTTCCTGACGTCAACAGCGACCATCATTCCTCCCGTCTTAGCACCCCTGCCAGCAGCGTTGCCCAAGAGGTAAACAACATCATCATCGATGCAACTCAAGGCCGGGTAACACAAACGCAGGCGACCTAGGGACAAGGAAGAGGTTGCCCCTTGACCTTGAGCCTCCTCCCTGTGTTCATCACCGCTGTTGCTGAGCATGAGGCTATGAAGCAACTCGTAATGGTGACTTGGGTTGGTGTCAAGATGGACTTCACGCGATTCAGCAGTGCAGTCACGGCGCCAGTCGTCCCATGAAGTGACCGGGATAGGCATGCTCCATGTAGTGATTCTCCACGAACCAGGGTGGAACACGGAGCGTCGCCGTGTCGGCTGAGGTTCTCTGCTGCGGCGAACCCATTCAAGGTATGAAGTAGGATCTGCAGAGGTGGAGGTGGGTATGGTGGTGGTCACCGTTCTTGGTGAAACGATCTCCATCTCCAGATACTTGATGGAATCCTTGTGTTGGCTGATGGCGATGTCCCGACAAAAGGACACATCTCCATTGAGGTACATCCTCCAATTGCCCTTGGCCGGCCACGGCAGCGGCATGTCGCGGAGCTTCCTTGGAGACATTTCGTCGAGCACGTCGCAGAGGAGGATGCCGCGCCAGAGATCAACCCAGCCCACGGTGCCCTTCGCACCTCCGAGCGTGATGGTCTTGGTGGTGACGTGGTACAGCTGCCTCTTGGCTGAGTCCGGGATCGGGCACAGCCTGTCCCTCACCGGCTCCTCCACGGACACCTCCTCCGATGTCCAACTCCCAGACGAACAAGAAGATCTGTACAGGCGCAGCGTGGAAGTGAACTCACTCCAGACGTGGAGGGCGGCCACGACGTAGCGGTCGTCGCCGCAGCTGAGTATGGCGAGCTGGTGGTCACCGAGGGTAGGGGGAGGCGGGTTGGGGAGCAGATCCAGTTTCGGAGACGGGGGATCCGGATGGTAGACCAAGTAGTCGTTGTCATGCGGGGCACCAAGCTGATCGATGGGGACTCGGAGGAGGAGGAGGAGCTGGCCGTCGGCGTCGTCGACGGCGGCGGCGATGGCTTTAGGCGCGCCAAGCAGATTGCCATTGAAGGATGGGAGATCGGGGCAGTGGACGGAGAAGTGGGAGAGGGCAGGCGGGGACGCCTCCCACAAAGTCACCTCGATGGGATGGCCGGCGCTCAACCTGCAGCTGGCGGTGGAGGCGTTCTTGAGGGTGGACGTGTAGCCCCGGACGCCGAGCAGGAGGCTGCTGGCCGTCTTCTCCCCGGCGGCGCCGCCAGTCGCGGCCATGGCGTCGAATTAGGGATTTCGATTTTGGGGGTAAGGAAGGGGAATACAACAAACAGACGTAGACGGGTGGAGCGAAGGCTTTTATTTGGGATGCCCGCACCCGGGGTGATTAGTCCGCAAATGACCTAATTAGCGCTAATGGTAATATGTACTGGAGTAATATTTTTTTAAAAAAAAATACATCAATAATTATTTTTTTTAGGATAGTTCACAGTTTTAAAAAATAGTTGAAAGATCATGAATTTTCAGTTGAAATTTTCCATAATTCGAGTTGAAAGTTTTAGAAGTTTGAGTTAGAAATTTTTTTAATCGCGTTAAAAGTTTTTAAATTCCCAGTTGAAAGTTTTCATAATTCAAGTTGAAAGTTTTTAAAATCAGGTTGAAAGTTTCAAAATTCGAGTTGAAAGTTCAAATTTCATGTTGAGAGTTCAAAGTTTTCAAATTTTGAGTTAGTTTTAAATTTTAGGTAGGACTTTTTTTTATTGAAATATGTAGATCTTTACCTATCATAAATGTTTAAGATGCTTTTGCCAAGTATTTTTGTACGTTGTCCCAGTATAATGCGCTGCGCAGTCCAATTTCATTTCCTCCCTGTGCGTATTTTTTTACGATTTTCCGGTCCGATTCCTCCATATCGCCCCCTCCCAAATTGCTCCACGTTTTCCGTTTTCCTGTCCAGATCACATCATGTCCTAGCAAGTAGAACAAATTTTCTCCTCACATCATTCAGGCCCATGTAACTGCCACATTCCAGATCAATTTTACATATATATATATATATATATATATATATATATATAGGACGCCCAGATAGGGCTCCATGGTGCCCGGGCACCACTGACATCTGCCGGTTGATCACATTCTCATCTAGTTGATCGGTACATGTATATTTGATTAACGGGTTCACCCGTTAAGTACATTTGATTTGGAAATTGACAGCGTGTGCATGCATGCAAAATATTTAGGAGTATCAATTTAGCGTCTTTAATACCTTTCCATCAACAGTTCACGGCCGTTATTTGGTTTCTAAATATTTGTCACCATAATCATGGATTTGCGGTTTATTTGGCAACAAATATAATGCGGTTTATTAGGGTATATGAAAATCTAAGTATACTTCTACGATGTAGTATATATGGAAATGTTATCCTGCTGTTATTTTGAAAATAATTATATAAGGAAACCGAGGTACCCTAAGTACACCATGAACGATGTAATTGGAATATAAGTATATATGGAGGCTAAGTATATGGTATGCTTATGTACACCTAGCTAAATTAGTGCGTTTTGCACTTTCCAGTTTCAGAAAATGTTTACTCATTTATGTAATGTAATGGCTATGTATACACGGGTTATTTTTTCTATATACTTAGCTAACTTGTTAAGTATACAAAGTTTTAAATTACGTTAATTTAATTATATTATGAATCCAAGCGTATATAAATTTACAATTTGTGTACACGGTATATTTTATTATTGTCATTTAATATTGTTGTAAATAGTAAGTTTGGAAACTAATTAAATTTGGAACCAAGTATATTTTAGTCGTTACGTCCGGATGTAAAATTTTATATAAATTAATCCAAGCATATTTTTTGTATACCATGGTTTCTAAGTATATCTATATTTCAAATGTGTACTGTAGATTATTAGAATTTAAAACTCGCCTACCTAGGCTGACAGTACATTATTTCCTAATTAAATTTGGAACCAAGTATATTTTAAGTCGTTACGTCCGGATGTAAAATTTAATATAAATAAATCCAAGTATATTTTTGTACCATGGATTTTAAGTATATCTAAAATTTAAATGTGTGTACTGTGTATTATTATTTCCACCATGTTTTTCCATATGTGCCGATTTAGATTAAATTCAATTTCTTTCCACAGTGTTTTAGATGCGCTTTTAGAAGTTTAATATGCTGAATTGAAAGAGTAGATCTCTTAAGTGAAGTCTGAAAGGAAACAAAATATCGGTGAATTGGCTCATCCACATATCATAGGAGTTTAGCATAATATAAATGAAACATATGCTAATTAAAGTAAAAACGATCTATAAATATAGATGTAACTAGTTTATTATTACAGTACGATTGTGATTCATAAATGTAAAAACACAGAATGGCTGCTTATTTGACCGATGGCTGGCAACCATATCACACCATCAGAGAGTTGATTTTCGGCTGGTACTTGCATGTTGCCTCATGTTTGCTATTCAGACGGTGGGCGAGTCTCATTTCTCATCACTAGGATGAGAATTTATCATCACTATGACGAGAAATGATCAACTTAGGAGCCTCCACCTCCCTCTTGACATCTTTACGGTCTGTATCTATCTCCTACGAAAAAAAACAAGTGGAAAATGTTAAGAGCAGGAGTGACAAATCCAGAACTGGAGCTGAACGTGAACCAAAAATATATTAAAATAAATTACCTGTGAATCATTGGACTTCGTTTCATCGTCTATTAACATCTGCGCCTTTTGGAGATATGCATTCTCCTCTTGAAGACCATACTCATTGACTAGGGCCGTCCAAGTATCTTCAAAATCACTTGCTGTGCGTGCATGATATAAGTTGTGTAGTTCTGACTTCGTACCAAATAATATGTGCCAACGGCAGCGTGGGTGATCATACTTCTGCAGCGACTGATCGATCTTCTCGCTCCGGGCACTAGTGTTCATCTTGTCCATAGCTACTGGCAATATAAGTATAAATTTCAGAATACTAAGAAGAGGTCAACATATATGAGAAGTACATATACGTACAGATAAGTTGGAGCCATACCTGGAACAGAAATGTGTTGTTGGCGAGAACCAGAGAGAGCACCAGAAGTGAGCAGAGTCGTATTGTTCTGCTCTTTATATGTTGCAATTGTGTCTCCGTTGGAAGGAATGAAAAAATTAATATCATTACCAAGTATAAAGATCTTATTTATGGTAATATTTATAGCTATTACGACCGATAGGTTACATAATATAATTTGTTACCGTCAACATGGATCGATCCAGTCAGAATTGGGTATCAATTGATTAATTTAGTAACCAACGAGTGATTTCGGTACTAATTGGCCATAGTCAACGGGATAGAGAGAGAGTGAAAAAATGCACGTCTGAATACCACAAGATTAATGACATAATCTGTACTTTTACAGGTGTACATGTACACATAGGTTTATGAGTGACAGAGCGAACACGTATACATGTATATCCCACAAGATGAATGACATAATTATCTCAGCTACCAGCTCTTTCTTTTCAGCACTAAATCTCTGTATGATAGGTGTGATGGAAGATGGTACACAACGCGAAACCGGTGCCACGAATTTAACACGAACAGCCTTCTTCCTTGAAGGTGGAGTGACAAAGTCATCATCATCATGAATGGAACGACGCTTCACATTTCTTCTCATGCTCGCACACTTTGGAAGCCGCGGCATGCTATTAAAAACTACCATTATTAAAACAAGCAATATGATTCTCTTCGGGTCATATACTTCAATTTAAAATTAATTAAATCTATATTTACAAAGATTATAATTGAGATGTCCACGTAAAAGAGACATTGCTGCTGTTTCACTACCTACCTAAATTTTATACACTGGATGCAAATCAAGATATTCGAACGGGCATGTTATATACCTAAAACAATCTAAATTCAACTGCATTTCAACAAAAAATCTATAAATTTAGGTTCCAGGTGATTCATCATGTGCTCAGTTTAGTAGATAAAAAGAAGAGGAATGGCAAATCATCTATACATAACAGGGACTGCATGTGAATGTAAGATGTGTGAGTGATAAACACTGAGATCCATACCTTTCAGGTAATGCAGCTCGCTGGTGAATAATGTCTGTTCCGAAGCTCACGAACAACCAGCGACGGCAGCGAAAAGGCACTTGGACATCAGGCGCTGTGATGGCTTGACAAAAATGGTTGAGGAGTTCTGGTTTCCAGCAAGAGGCTTGTGGACGAACGTCGTCGGTGACGAAAACCACGGACGTCGGCCCTCTTCACGGCATGGCGAGCAATCCCGGCGAGGTAACTCGGTGAAGACGATGTGGATAGCTAGCTCTTGGACCGTGAAACAGTGTGGAAAAGAAAAATCAAAAAAAGGAATACAGTAGCCGGTTATATGTGCATCTTGAAAATGGAATGTAATCTTGAAAATAGATGGCAATAATCGCAATTAGTGGAATGGCGTCATTTTTCAAAAACGAATCACGATTCAAAAGGTAAGTATCTGCATGCAAACGTTGTATATATGGAAATGTGATATAGAAAATGGAAAGTGCTAATCATAATGTGTATGCATGATTAGAGGGCGCAAATTTGGAAATACATGCACAGTAAAAATGGAAATACCTGCATGCATGTTCTAAGGAAAGTATATGCATGCAACTCTTATCGGGTTAGACCCGTTAATGTGTGATAGCATCCTCTAGTGTGTTGCACGGATCTTAAAGCATTTGGACGGTGGATGGCTATGGAGCCCGGGCACCATGGTGCCCCTAACAAATTTAATATATATATATATATATATATAGACATACTATACCGCATCTGGCGTACGTAGTAGCTAAAATGCTCCCCCTCACATCCTACCCCCACCCCTCCCAATCCACCCCCGTGCACCCCAACCACCGGCGCCCCCTACCCCTCCCAAATTTACTAGTAAATTGTTTACTATCGAATCTACATGCTATATATATATAGACTAGCAAAAGTGACCGTGCGTTGCACCGGGTGTTTACGGAGCGTGTATAGCGATCAAAAAGTATTGTTTGGTTTAGAGAACTAATCTGCTCAAAAAAAATTGTTTGTTTTTAGATAAATAATATGCTCTATATTTGCGCACAGAGTGATGTCACGATGGATAAAATTTAACTGAACAATTTTTTAAACAGTCTAGTATTTCAATAATAATCACAAAGTTTTTTTTAAAATATTCCACTTTACATGTGTATGATATGAGCGATGTTCCTGACGCGTTAGCGTAACGATTGTACTACGGTGGATAAATTTAACTGATCGATTTTTAAGCAGTTTGGTATTAAAAAATAATAATCACAAATGTTTTTTTACAGTTATTCCACCTATACGTGTATGATATAAATGTTGTACCTGATGCATTGGCGTAATCTCTAATTTCGAAATCTCTGCGGATTCGCGTGCAAACAACCCCTCCACGTGGCACAATACGATTCCAGCGTTAGTCCTCTCCCTCAGCCGTCGGATCGATGATCAACGGTGTGGAATAGCTGCGGTGGACCTCTTTGTAATATGTGAGGTTTTAGGGGTCTTTTTGAAAAAGTTATACCCTGCTATGCCCTTCTCTCCGCCGGCAGCCCCGCCCCCGCTTCCTCCGCCTCATTCGTCGGAGGTCGACCTACGCCGATGTCGCCGCCTCTTCCTCCTCCTCACGCTCCAGCTCCACCTCCACCTCCGCCCCTCCGGCGCCCGAGGCCGACCCTCCCACGCGCCGGCGCGCTGTTCTGTGCCGTCTCTCCCCTCAAGCTCGGCGGCAGTGGCACAGATTCACCTCGTCGCTGGATGTGGCGATGAAATTCGGTTGCCGTGCTTGGGGATGGGGAGGATGAAATCACGTGCATCGCTACGTCCGTCTTTGCCTGCCTTTTGATTCGCCAGCCGCCTCTCTCCCCAAGCCGTGGCACCGAGGGGATCTTGGACGGAGGCCACTGGCCGTGCAGCAAAGGGCGTGGCTGAGGACCGTGCTACCGCTGCCGGATGACGTCATGCAGGAGCAGGAGCTTCCTCCCCTGCTTCCCTATGTGTTCACACCACAGGTGATTAATTCCACCTGTAAACGGAATCGGAATCGGAATATATAAAGCGGCGCACATGGGGCGAGCGAGGAGGGGTGCCACGTAAGGATTTTGCTACAGTATATACAGCGCGCGGGGTGGCATTTTTGTGAAAAGGCCCTCCGCTTCGCGCGTAATTCGGCCGCCGTCCTCCATGAACAGTCCCACCGAGTTATCTATTTACGTTTAGGCCTCTGGTGAATCCAGTTATTGCATAGGAGGAAGGGAGATGTGGCGAGTTAGGGTCGCGCTGTAAAACTTGAAAGACGAGGGTCTTTTTCGCAAAAACGCCGTGCACCTGCCCGCCGCTGCCTGCTCGTCTCCTCGTCCCTCCCGTCCCCCGTCTCGCCCTCTCCCTCTCCTTCTCCCGCCTCGCGTCGCCGCCGCCGCCGCCGCCCCGCGCGCCGCCCCTCCTCCCTCTCCCTCAGCCATCCTCCTCCTCCGCCGCCGGTCCATTCTCCGCCCTTCACCGCCTCCGTTGCCGGCCACCACTGCCCCCGTCCACGCCTCGCGTCGCCGCCCCCATCCCCGTCCCCGCCCCGTCGCTAGGGTTTCGTCACGAGCGACCTCCCGCCGTGGAAGCTTCCACCTTCCTCCTCATCCTTGTCCTCACGGCCGCGGCGTTCGCGGCGTAGGCGGCGGGGGACGGGTGCAGCGCCGGATGCGAGCTCGCGCTGGCCTCCTCATCCTCGAGCGCCTCCACCCCAATACTTTCTTCGTCCTCGCCTCGTCGCGTCGCTCTGTCTTCTCCCCTCCCTGCCTCTTCGGTTGATGTCTTCATTTCTTCCCCTTTCGTGCGAATGGGACCAACGGCGGATCAAGCGAGGGCGCCGCAGATCGACTGGCGGCACAGCTTCTCCCCATCCTTTGGTGCTGCATTGCTGGTATCATCGTCGTGTTTCCCGCTGTTGGTGCGTGTCTCACGGAGGTAAGGTTTGCAGCGTGCATAATGATGTGCGGTTGAAGTTGAACTCAGTTTTGTGTTCCTTTTTTGATATTTCGATTTTCTTCTTTTCATAGAAAGAATGGATTGGAGTAAATCAGCAGCGGTGTGGATTGTGCTCTGACCTCGGCAGGGGCGGATACAAGAACACAGCGATGAGATCCGGTGCGGTTTGTGGCGGACCAAGCATGCCGGCCGATGGAGATGGTTCTCTGCATCTACGCATTCCCCACCAACATGCCGCCCTTCAGGTACAAATCAAGTCTGATAAAACACTGCCATCCTTCTTGTGTTACATGTTCTGTGTTACATGGTGGCCTCCTCCTCCACCACAGCGGCGGTGTCGGCAAACAGATTTGAGAGGTAAAAACATCCCTTCTTGTGTTGCTTTACGGCCATATTTGAGAGGAGAATGGCATGATGCTGCAGTTTGATTTCACCGGCTTTCCTGCTTGCCGTATTTGTAATCTCAACTTTCATTTCAAGTGATTGTTGGGGCCAAACCTATGGTGGCTAGTCGCTGAGGTGGTGTCATTAATGGAGGCAAAGAGTGGCAAGTGGTGACCAAAGCGGAAGGACCTGGTGTGTTGCGCGTGCGCCGGCCACTGGCGGTGCGAGGCCACGGCGACGGTCATGCTGCCATTATCCAAGTATGGCTGCTGACCAATTTCTTCCCTGAAGTAGGTGAGGTTAGCCCGATAGGAACACATACCACCTATATTGTGATATTTGGAGCTAGGGCACATTCAGTCCTGTTATTTGATCTGTAGCATCAAGGTTGTAAAATTATCAGTTTTGCAGAGGATTTTTGGTCATCAAATTGGAGTTGATGATATTTTTTGAGACACTGAATTAACTAATATCAAATATATAATCTGGATTTCCCTTCAACTCAAAGCTTGTTGTTGTCTTGTTGTCTGCGTGCATGCTGGGGTGGCTCTTCTGCGGGCGATCAAAAGGGCAGTGACAGCATGTATTGACGAACGCAATGTGCTTGCTGGCCGAATAGACATGAACACATATCACTGAGAGGGAGTGAAACAGTGTTGACGAGTAGCCTGCTTTTGGGTTAGTTCTTGATCAAGCTAAAATGCACTTCTTTTTCTTGATCGGTATAAAGGGCACCCTTTTTTTTTCTTGCAGCATTTTCATATGCACCCAATATTGCCCACACGGCCACACCACCATCATCTATAGGCAAGTAGTACGTTCATGTGCAAATTTTGCAGGCCAGCTGGTAGTCGTGACACCACGTTCCCCGGCGAGCTGGTGTAGGCTGGTGTACGATACCCGCAGCGAGCATCGGATTTCTGACGGATTGTTCTCGAGCTCCAACATCCGGTGCTCGAGCCCTTGCCGCTGCCTCTCGTTGCCGGCCACCAGCTCCCTCATCTTCAGGAGGTCCTCACGGGCCTCCGCCAAGTCACGTACCAGCTGGTCAGCACGCTGGTTTGCTGACGACGCTGCCGCCCTGGCCTCCTCGACCTCGCGGCCTACGCCCCGAGCACCGGCCTGGAGGAGGCGCTCCATCTCCGCCTGGAGCTCCCCCCAGGTGAGGGCATCGGTGGACGGGCCCCGAGCAGACACAAGGTTGACGGCGGGGCTACTCGACGTCGCCTCCCGGTCCTTAGTAGCGACCACTACATCTGTCGAGGTCACTGCAGGGGACGCACTGGAAGCCGCACCGGTCCCACCTTGCGCCGCCTTCGCCTGCGCCGCCCTATGAAGAGTTTCCTCTTTCTCATAAAGCTAGGTGATCAAGATTTCGTGAATGGAAAAACTTCAAGAACGTCTACTTACTTCTCGCCGATCGTCACTAGTCACTAGCCTTTGCCTTCGCTGAGGTGGGGAGACGCGTCCGAGTCCTAAGTAAGATACGACGGTGTGAGGTCCAGTCACTCCGACTACACGTTAAAAAACAAGAGGGAGGCTCACCGCCGGGTTTGGCGCCTTCCGACGGGTCCCGAGTACGGAGGAGAATTCCTCCCCTTCCTCGGAACGTTGTTGCCACTCGTGGTAGCAGCAGCTGCAACGTCGGACGCCTCATTGGTGACGCCCTCCTTCAATGACGCCGCTGCCTGGTGGTCCGCGAGTGGTCCGATGACGTCCGCAGAGGGAGAACCTACATAACGTGAAGTCACAACGCGATCTCGAGGAGAAGGATGTAAAGGAGTCATCGAGTACACTTACATTAATTGCAGCGACGCGTTCGACCGGACCCTTCTCACAAAGGGGGACCGGGATGTCGCTCGCCGCTGAGGGAGCGCTGATCATCACCTGGCCGACAAGCTGTCCCACGGTGTCGCTGTCCAGACCTGTAAATCGAGGACGAGAACTCGATAAGCCAGGAGAAACAGACGTACTCGAAGTAAAATTCGAAATGCAAGAAAAAATACCCCGAGGAGAAACCCGGGTCACGTCCTCTAGCCCAGAGTAGTCAAAGGCCGCATGGGCGCGGGCCTGGAGCGGTTGGATCCGCCTACCTACGAAGTCGGCAGCGACTTCGTACCCCGACAACCCCTGTGTTCGGAGGTCATCGATGATGTCGATGAAAGACTGGAGGGAGGGAGTCAGGGCGGGTTTGGCGGTCCACTCTGGGATTTTGTCTGGCTGCTCTTCAGGGACAACAAGGACGGGATCCGAGTTTTCTATCTAAATATAGAACCATCTCGCCCACCATTTGCTGCGAAAAGAGGGGCACCGGAAGGGGATGTAACGCGACTTCAGGCGATCTCGAAGTCGGAACCCAACACATCCAGATACCCTGTTGGGTTCCATCCAGCGCAACTCATAGTAAAAGCGGAAGAGATCAAGGAAAGGCTCTACCCCAATGTAGGCCTCGCAAAGATAAGAGAAAATGCTAAGGAACACGATGGAATTGGGATTCAAGTGAAGCAAAGAAAGGCCATAGAAGTTCAAAACGAGAAGAAGAAATTCGGAAGGTGGAGGAAGAAAACCGCAAGAAATATAATCTTCGACCGCAACCATACGGCCCAAGATAGGTTCGGGTTCAATACCTCCTGTCTCCCTCTGCATGGTCCCACGACCAGGGAGGGCGCCGTCCCTCACCGTCACCGATCACCGCAAAAGAACCAGCAAAGATCTAAACCCAACTCCGTCTGCTTCGCGACATGTATAAAAAAAAGGATTCATCACATGTATAACAAGAGGGAGCAAGTAAGTAAAACAAAATATTCTTCCCTAGAAGTTAGCATACAAATAGCAACAGTTGCCTGTGTGTGTGTGTGTGTGTGTGTTTTTATAGGTTGTCAGTATAAGAAATAACACAAGTACTCTGACACCTAGGTATTGCTTACTTAGATGTCTGCTGCACTGCAAGTGCCAAAATCGGCCAATTCAAGTTATACACAAACAAACATTTGAGCTTTTGTGGACTTAGTGCATGAATTAGAGTACAATTAAGAATGGTAGAAATGTGAATCAATTCAATCCTTACAACACACAACTTGGATACAGATATCATGATTTCGATAGGATTAAATTTTCTCTCGGGAGCAAGAGAAGGCACCTACCTCGGTAGCGAGGCCGGTGTGTTGAAGTCGGGCTCCCCTGCAGCGAGGCCGATGACCAGCTCGCCGGCCTGCCGCAACGTCGTGGCCTGGTCTGTGATGGCCATGTTCTTGGACGACCGGAGCGCCCTCATCGTTGGGCTGATGGATGTGTCCACCGCCTCCGCCCTCACCACCGCCGCCATTCTGGCCCTCCCCGCCGCCGGTCTCTTCCTGGACACCCTGCAAGAACCAAGAACCAAAAGATATCCCTCACCGTCACCGATCACCGCAAAAGAACCAGCAAAGATCTAAACGTCGCGGATCGGCTGCTCACCAGACAGAGTTGGGACTGAAGGGATGAGCTGGATCCGCCCATCACGTCGCTGCCGACGGCGGATGCAGCTTGGAGATGATGAGCGAGGCGACGGACGTGAAGAAGCAGCCCACAAACGACGCGACGACGAGCCCGAGCGGATCGGCGCGAGCGGGGGTGGAGAGACGACGGAGGTCGCCGGATCAACCCCTCCCGTCGCCGTCGACGGCGGATCCACGGGAGAGGCGGTGGATCGGCGTCAGCGGGGGCGGAGAGACGACGGAGGTCGCCGGATCCACCCCTCCCGTCGCTGCCGACGCGAGAGGCGGTGGATCGGCGCGAGCGGGGGCGGACAAATGATGGAGCTCGGTGGATCCACCCCTGCCGTCGCCGCCGACGGCGGATCCACGCGACCATGGAGAGGAGATGTGGAGGAGCGCCGGTCAACGGGAGGCGGAATGACGGAGAGCTGGTGAGGGCGAGCGTGAGAAGGGAGAGGAATGGAGAGAGTAAACGAGCGGCTTGTTCGGTAACTCGAGGTAAGAGGATTGGGAGTTTACAGGAAGGAATTGATGATGAAATTAAGATGAGAATTTGATTTTTAATCTCAATATCTTGTTTGGTAGAGGTGATGGAAATTGATAGGGAGTTTAGTTGGAGATTAGATCATTAATAAAAACGGATGGTCGAGATTTACTTAGACAAAGTAAAGGAGGAATTTTCTCCCAATTACCTACCCCTACCCAGGTATTGAAAAGGAGGGAGTTCCTTCCTCAATTCCTCATCTCCATCTCACCAAAATTCTTATGTCTCCTAACCAAACAAGACATTTAATAGCCTCATCCCTCTAAACTCCTAATCCCAACTAAAAACTCCCTCCAACCAAGAGAGGAGTAAATGAGATGGGGGAGAAGAAACGAGAGAGCAAGAGAGAGAGTAAACGAGAGATTTTGGCTCTCCTCGGTAGTTTCGGAACGAGAGAGCAATATACCAAGTTTAGGTGCGGTAAGTTTCTTTGTAATTGTAATTGTGCTAATCCACCAAGTTGATTTTTGCTGATCCACCAAGTTGATTTTTGCTGAAAAAAAAGAATAATTAACTATTTACCAATCTTACAAGTGATAAAAAGAATTTGTCACTAAGCCTATATGTCATAAACGCAGGGTGGCCCACATGTCATAGACAGCAAGTGGCAATTTTTTTTGCCACATCTTAAAAGTGACAAATAGTTAAATGCCCCAAAAAAAATTAAGATACACGTATACTTCCCAGACAAGTGATATATTTTATATTGTTGACATCATAATCACCAAAACTTTCACTTTAATATTTGTTTGAGATAAAAAAAGTCAATTGTAATAAAATTTTTCACTCAAGAGTCAACGCGCTATATATCATCCATGTGTCACACGACCAGTCTCCACATGACTCCACATATTTTGAAGCGAGATCACATACTTTGTGACCACTACAACACTTTAAGTAAATATGCAATAGTATTTTAAAACCGTCTTGATTATCATTAGTATTATGATACAATTACCTATTTTAAATGCAAAAATTGTTTTGGTTAATCACACAAATTTTGTCCATCACCTCTTACATGAAAGTGACCAAGAAATTCACCATGTGTTCCTCCCATAGTACAATCACTAGAAAACTTGGCATGGCTTTGCCACGCCATTACGGTGAATGGCCTAGTGTTCTTAGCAGAGTGGCCTAGACTCGGGAATTTCATTTTAAAAATACTCCAATATATTGTGTTCATTAAAATGCTCCAAAATAGTAAGTAGACTGCCAACATGATTACAACAAATATAACCATATAAATCAACATTGAGGCACAAAGAATAATTTCATATGAATTGCAGATCATTTCATAGAAATTGTCTGTCGCCATGCCAACTCGATAAAACCACAGCCCAGTCATTCTCATCCTCATCCATCGGATTCATCTGAGCAATCATGTGTCCATTTTGGGAACAAAATACATCCGGTCCTAGTATAGAGTGCACGTCATATCGATATAGGTGTTGTATTTATATGCACCCCTGAAACGACTCATCATGTAGATGCACGATCTTTTACGCCTTGATGCTCACAGTGAATGAACGAACTTCTCATATAAAACAAATTGAGTAAAGCAGCTATAACATAATATATTGTTATGTTCACAGAGAAAGCAACATGAAAAAAAAGAGAGTAAAATGGTAGGACTTAATATACCATTACGCTCACAGTAACGAATACTGACATGAGCATGGTTCTACCATCCACGTGTGCTACTGTCTTATTAATCAGCAAGTCTGTTTCCTCATTTGAAGCAGTTATTCAAGCATATTCAGCTCTCAATGACAGTAGTGAGAAACTCTACCTCCTAAGATTCATGCACACTGCACACATCATCTATAAATTGCAAATGGTTTATTTCGGTCTATATCATCTAGTTTGAACTAAACTCAATAAATTTTAGCCCAAAAATAATCTTATTTAGGAATGACCTGATTTATCTTGTTTATTTGAATAAAGCATGTGTTCTCTGCATTTATAATAGACCCATCAAAGAACAATGTTTATTTGAAAATGAACTATAGGAAGATGCACAGCTAGCTTGACTGAATCATTTACATTGAAGCATAAGAACTGTGTGCCATGCAATGCAAAACTTCTTTTCTCAATTAGAAATTTAACTATTTTCTTGACAAACTGCAATATAAATTTCTGAAGCTGCACAACTGGTGTTTATTATATTAAGAGGTATGATATCTACCTCTGCCATGGCATTAGTTACGATATCTGGAATGGGCTCTATAGTGTCACCGATCCACCGTATCTGGAATGAGCTGCCCTTCTCTTGGTAATTTGCTATCTGCTCCACAGTTGTCAAAGAACCAATATCAAAATGCAATTTCAATATAGCAGCATCAACGAAGACAGGGGGAACGGAGAGAGTTAATGATGGGTGATAAACTCAGGCTATTCTTCAGAGTGCTACCAACAGGCAGAGATAAATTACAGAGCTGTAGAATATCTCTTTTTGCTGAAGATTATTAACAACATCAGTGATTCAGTGTAAAAAAGTGAAACCAGATTAATGGAATGGAATAGTGAATTAAATTCGTTAGCTTTAGAGAGATGATGCTGCCAGACTGGAGGTTTCAAAATGTTACATAAGATTATAATTCAATCAAAGGACACATTTCTATTTCAGAAAAGATAGCTAAAGAGAGCATTTGCTTTTCATTCTTCAATGATAATTTCAGTTTGAAGTGGAGTCGCGATTGAACTTTTGTAGTGTACATCTGAGAATAGCATAGTAGGATGCTTCACTGGAATGATCAATTTATATTTTGAACTCATGAAATAGTAAAAGCTGAAGTACTCCTACATCACATTTAACCTGTCTCAACCATAGTAGTGCTCAGAGAAGAATTCAGAAACCATGGTTTGCAGAGAAATTGAGCATCATGATTCACCAAATATACTGAACATTTCAACATTGGCACAGTAATAACTAACTTCAAGGCCTCAAGGAATATTCATAGTAAAATGAGAAGACTTTTTTTTTCTCTGAGGAATAAAATGGACCATATTTTTATGAAGCTGTATCAGATTTGCTCAGAAAATTGCATGGTACATTGTATAGCCAATATTCTATTTCTTGAACCTATCTAACTATGTCAAAAGGTGTGAGTTGGACTTATTATATAACTATATGAGTGAACTGACAACAGGAATAATCCCTGCGAGTAGGTTCAACTGATAGGACCTATACATTCTGGAATAAATGAACTAAATTTGTTTGACGACATAAACTTGATAGGTCTAGATACTCGCTAAGCTATCATAGGAAGAGTAAAATCTTTCTCATAACAAAGCTATGACCATTGGCAAAAGACAGGATGGTCTAGTTGCATAGAAGAATTATCAACAAGGACAACCACATGATAGACTATTTGTCATATTTCAGACAATAATAGACATATATACATGTTTCTTTTGTTGGGATACGCGTAAGCTACGATAGCATAAATTAAAATTTTCTATCGCGTAAACCAGGAACCATGCAAATATTAGATCATAGATCGTTACCACTCGACGCGCTGCGCAGCGGAAAAATGCGCTAAGAAGTCGAAAGAATTCTCGCGAAGTAGCGCGCGTCGATGTAGAGGAAGTAGTCGATCGCACCGGCTCGACCTTCTCCTCCTCGTGCGTTCTCCTCGCCGTATTCCCATGCTGATCAGCACCGCAAACCAGCGGCACCTCTACCGGTATCCACACGTACAGGGACGGAACGCCACGCGCAGATGTGCTAGCACCCGCGCGCGGCTAGGGTTTTGCTCGGGGAGGGAAGCGACGACTAGGGTTTCTCACGTGATGCAATACCTCCGCCGGTCACACCCCTCACGAATATATAGGATCCATCACTCGGGCCTCCAAGGCCCGTAGGACTCCTATTCGGATCTCTATCCGAATTAAGCTAATATTGGATCTCCATCCAATCCCCTTATTCCGGCCCATTAAGCGTGCGACCCTGTAGGTTCATGTATACTCGGCTGTAACCCGAAAACTCCTTTTCGGTCCACGCGTCAACAGCGGCCCCTAGCAGAACGTATTGACCCACCGGGCATACATAAAGATCATATCGGCTGAACCTCTAGTGTATACTTGTATGAACCCATTTGCCTCACGATATTGATTAAGCTCAAGGCTAGATATGTGCCATCCTCTAATAGCTCAATCATTCACTCGAACCTGTTGATAGATTATATAACTTATGATTGACTCCTCAATCACCTTTGGCATGGCCATGCACTTTCATAATCTACAACATCGAGGGGCCCAGAGATATCTCTCCATAGGAGGGGCAAATCCCATCTTGATTATTCATATCCCACTACATGTTTCATAGCATGCCCGAAAACTACTTTTATAACTACCCAATTACAGAGTAGCGTTTAGCAGTCCCTAAGTAAGCTACTACACATGTTGAGAACCATGATAATCTCAGGTCTAAGAATTCAACACCAACACTAAATGAGATCACTAATGACACAACACATATGGCTCTTGCAGTGTCTCATGTTGGATCTATCCAACAACATGTTCACCAACATGTGTCCACATTATTAATTTGGTATCTCCATACCATGATACATGAGACATGATCTTCAATTAATACATGTGCTGATCATATAAATATATTTGTTCCACATATGATATTTGATCAGGGATACTTTAGAAATAGTAACAAACAACATGAAGAGTCTCATGAAAGAATCACATATTCATTAACTAATAATGAATTATCTATTTCAAGGAACAATATCGGATAAATATGTAAACATAGTATAAGATACAATCATCTCTATGATTGCCTCTAGGGCTCTTTTTCAGATACTGCTATGATATCATATGTGTCATTGTGTATTCAGCTTGTTAGTTTCTACCTTACATCGTTGAAGTGTTTTTCGTTGCTAAATAGGACAAATTTTATACTTGTAGATATACAAATACACCTGATTGAACTTGATTAACATAATTCTGTACAGAGCACAGCTAGCAGGCAAAGGTGAACAGAGATGTAGTTAACATGCCTAGGTGCTGATGTGTGAAGGTGTTACGGATGCTTGGTCTTCTGCCACCTTCGTACTGTGAGTCAAGAAATGCCAACTCTTCAGATTTCAGACAAAGACAAAACATTTTACAATGCGACAGTTAATTTTTGGCAACTAATTCATTCCTTGGTGCCAATCTGAGCAATATTCAGTAGCATCGTGTAACACGCAAAAACCACCGAAAACAGCAAAAGAAATTCCTTCTTTTTTCTTAACTAGAGCTAGGGGCGCGCCTTTGCGCACCGCCTGGAAGTTCATCTAACAAACCAAACAACACTCTTCTTAAAAAGAAAAGGCAAACAATATGATTACAGCTATAGGACAATGAGTACTCGCTTTCACATGTGAAGTAATTCTACTCAAGCTCTTCAGTTTCACCGTCTGAGAATAAGTACATTGTTTCTATGCACGTCATAATTTACTGGTACAAATCGCTTCAAGTTCATACTATGAGCCAGAATAAAATGAAAAATGAATTGCTATGGACCCAGCACCATGATGAGCAGCTGCCATACTAAAAGGCCATATTCAATAGAGTATAGGTCGATTCTTGGAAAGACAAAAATGCTCAGGCTCCCATAGTCTGTGGATACATTCCGCATCTTTGAATATCCTGGAATGTTTCTTCAGTAAGATCAAAGAAGACATAGTTAACGAGTGGGAAAATTCATGAGAGGAACATGGAAACACAAACCTTAGTAAAATTGTACAAAAATGATAGAAAGAACCTTCTTCCAAATAACTCAGTGCAAGTGAAATATATATAAGGAACCCACTGATGTAGCTTGGGGAAGATGTGAAGATGCTAGCGATAGAATTACAGTTTATAGAACATGACGCAAAAAATTTAAGATTAGTTTAGAAACTCAAGAGAGTACCGTTATAAATGCAGACTTAACATCAAGGCTAGCACAAATAGAAGATGAATTACAAGACTTACCTGTGAGAATGAAGATAAGTTGAAAAGTAGAAGGATATTACTGTTATTGTCAAGGACATGGGAGGTCCAGAGAGCTTACCCAGTCATTACAATTTAGAGATGAACCACAGATTTGCATATGGAAAATGATATAAATGATATAAGAGGTTTGCAAGATGATCTGAGATCTAGCAATGAGAATTTGCTAAGAGAAGAAAGACTGATATAAGAGCTTTAGTCTATCCTTGCAAGCCTGACTTCGAAACTTAGTCAAAAGAGTATGGCCGTGCTTTTCAATTTCTTATGTAGTCTTAGCTGCCTCCAATTTGTTCACTTGTTGGATAGATTAGGTAACATAAATTTGATTGATTTTCCTGATGATCATAGATTTGTTCACCTCCTCCGCCATCTTGTGCCTGGCGCCGCCTCCGTCTTCGGTTTGCAAACGTGAACACTGGCATCACCTACATGAAAAATCAAATGGTTAATGGTGTGCAACACTGTCAACTTTAAGGTGAATTTGTGTCAACAAAATTTCAGTCAAGCTGCACGAAAAATTCAAAAGTCCCTGAAATAAATTGAGATAACAAACAATCCTCCATGCATAACAGTATTGAGTACTGGCCCCATTCGAGTTTAAGATAAAAGATTAAGTTCGGACAGGTAAAACGAGAAAATCATTAACATCTCACTAATTAAGGTTTAATTATTTTAAAATTGAAAAATAGATTTATCTTGTAATTAAAGCTTCTATATGAATTTTTTTCGTTCGAAATATACAGTTCAACAGTTTAAAAAAACGTATTTATAAAAATCTAGGTAAAATCTGTATCTTAATCAGAAAAAGAAAAATAGAGGCTGAAGAAACCTTGAGAGAGCAGTAGAGTATGGCACTGGGATGATGCCAAACTGCTTTCAGAACCGATTCACTGCTGCTGTTGGCATCTGCAGATTTGATGAGTTCAGCACCAAAATGAAATCTGCATAAGCAAAGCATCATGAGTTCTGAAAAGCGAACTGTTTTTTTTAAAAAAATCTTACAGATATGAACTGTATTACAAGCAGCTGCGAAGCCACAAACCTATAGCTCTGGCAAATCCATCTGGGCAGCACCGAGTCGCCGGCGCGTGCTGCGTGGCGGCGGCAACGCCGGGAGGGACGAGGCGGGAGGATGAGAGCACCACGGCAATCCTCTGCACCGATGAGATGATGCTGCACATGTACTGCTGCGCCATGGCGGGCACGCTGCCCTGCAGGTGGCTCTCGAACACGAACTGGAATGCGATCGTCATCACCGCCTTGGAGCTCGCCGCAGCAGCACAGCCGCTGCAATTGATGCCGCTGATCCTGCTCCATGGCGTCGCTGCTTCGAGCATGGAAGCAAGATCCAGCATGCAGTTCGAGCTAGATGTGTCCTAACATTTGCAAGGAAAGAAAATCCAGAAGAATTATGTTTTTTATAGCATAAAAATTTTAGAAAATTTGATTCGAAATGCTAGTGTATTATCTAATTGTGTGAGATTTACTTACAGAGGAGAATCGATAGGGATGATGTAGAAACCGGAAGGCAGCAGCGGAGAATCATCACTGAACGATGCATCGATGGGTGCAAAGATTAGCTCTGAACATGTTCCTGCACTGCTCTCCTCTACTCCATTGTACATCTGCCATTGCAATCAGGCCAAGAACACAAGTTTTACAGAGGAAAAAAGAAAATGATTCTTCAACTGGTGATAAGTTTCATGAATCAAGAAGTCACCTGCAAGAGGAACAGATCACGGTGCACCAGTGTATCTTGGTAGTTTCTGGTGTTTCCTAGCTTGATAACTTCCAGGAACTGAAACAGTAGATGGTTGCACCAAAACATCGAGCAGGAAAACAGAATTGGACAGGACCTTTTTTGTAACCGACAGACAGTAGAAGATGGACTTACCTCTGCAGGTTCAAAAGTGTGTGCTAAAGGAAGTATGACCTGACCACTGAATCCTCCAAGACGAGACATGGGTAAATTGCAGAAGTTTGGTTTCATCGTCGGCCCATTGTGACTGGTGTTCGCGCAAAAATTGCAGTAGTGATGGAGGAGAGACATCCTAGCAAACAGCAGAAGAAATATTGTATGAAAAATATTGGCAATTACAAAACAAACAAAAAGAAAGTACTAATTCTAGTTTCATAGTGAAGCTAACCTGCAACAGCATGGATGCCTTGGCACAAAGAACACCGGTACTGACAATAGTGAGTCCACTGCTGAATGTTGCATTGCAACCGGTCACTTTGGATGAATTGACAGAGATGCAAACATCGTCGATGCCATCGCTCTCGATCACGGACCATCCATCATCCGCAAGCCCATTGAGAACTTCATTGAAGCCTCTGAAAAGAGAGCATGCAAAATTATTTTTCACACTTTTCAATTGAAGATTCATGGCAAGAACCAAGAAGCATCTGCTGTTCAGGAGTCCTACGTGGTGAGCTTTTTGGCTCAGAGCATGCAAAGCCGCAAGCTTCCTTCCCCATCCTGTGATCACAGAACGGGTATCTTTGTAGGCAACCTGCCTCAGGCAGCGTAAAGACTGAATTTTGCATGACTGAATTAGGCAATAATTTTTACAAATCAACAAGAACATCAAGAACAGGGTACTATAATTACTGTACCGCCATCGATATCTTCTGCGCAACCAAGGCAGAAGATTCATACAGAGGTCGCACAACTTCAGGCACGCTCCAAGGCTGTGAACACAAAAAAATTGGCTGAAATTTCTTTCTGCTAGATGAATGAACTATTTGGATAAGAAATTGTAATGGTTATTAGTTATTACCTCCAGGTCCATATGATCAACGATGTGTATCACGCTGCCTCCACCATCGCTAGGTCGGATCAAGAACCCACTGGGAAGCATCTCATCTCTGATAAAAGGCTGGACAAGTGGCATGCTTGGGCCTCCTTGCTTGCTACTGAGTGATCTCTCACACACCTTCAGAATTCAGAACAAGAACATTCAGGCAAGCAGACAAGACATCATAGTGACACACAAATACTTTGGTATTAATTGCACATCAGCACATGGATAATTTGTTTTGCGCTCCATGATCAGACAACTAACCACTAAGCTTCCATCACCGAGAATGGAGGTGTACCGCAGCAGCCAGAAGTCGTGAGCCGGCGCCAGCGTCGTCGGAGCATAGAGTTGAAGACTGAATACAGATTTCAGCTTCGGAATTTCAGGTTGAGCTAAGAATTTGCCACAAAAATTTTCAGGCTTGTCTGTTCTTGCCTGCATGTAGAGCAGCTTGACCTTCCATTTAGCACAACACTAATGAGTTAAATCAGAACATGAACAACCAGACAACTACCCTACCCCTGCATCAGAAACATGAAGCTGCACAGATAAGTTTTTATCTCAGTCGTCATAAAGCAGTGAAGAAAATCAAGCAAAAAATGTAATTGCACCAACGAGTGAGATGGACAGATTGTTGCACCTCATTAAAAATAAAAAGCCCCAAACCTCCTCTAAGTCAATGAAAATTATAGGGAATGCAATAAGCCACGAAATAATTGCATGCTAGAAAAAAGTGGCTTGAATAAACTAATCTGAGAGCTCCAGTCCACGGTTGGTTTCTCTTAAACATTGAATTATATGAAGGCCTCTATTCAATGGGTTTATTAGTATCAACTTGCATTTAACAGGAACAATGGCCACTACAACTGAAACAATGGTACAATACGATCATCAAAGATTCAAAGTTGTCAAGCTCTGTGACCAATAGATACTTACCTTTTAATTGAGTTGCCAATGCCCCAACGTTATAGCCTGATCCTTACCTTTCGGCTTCTTGCTATTACCACCCTACTACAATGCTATTTCTATCACCTGAAACAGTAAGAATCATGGAAAAAAGATTCTCGGTTAATGATGGCAAGGATTGAGACTCTGACCGTCCAAAAGAAATAGTTCATGCAGCAATAAGAAATTAAAAATCGGCATCAAGTACACGAGATAGCCAAATAATGGATCAGGGAAATGACATTTATTTGATCCCTGCAAAATTTGCACATGAACATACTACTTGCCTATAGATGATGGTGGTGTGGCCGTGTGGGCAATATTGGGTGCATATGAAAATGCTGCAAGAAAAAAAAAGGGTGCCCTTTATACCGATCAAGAAAAAGAAGTGCATTTTAGCTTGATCAAGAACTAACCCAAAAGCAGGCTACTCGTCAACACTGTTTCACTCCCTCTCAGTGATATGTGTTCATGTCTATTCGGCCAGCAAGCACATTGCGTTCGTCAATACATGCTGTCACTGCCCTTTTGATCGCCCGCAGAAGAGCCACCCCAGCATGCACGCAGACAACAAGACAACAACAAGCTTTGAGTTGAAGGGAAATCCAGATTATATATTTGATATTAGTTAATTCAGTGTCTCAAAAAATATCATCAACTCCAATTTGATGACCAAAAATCCTCTGCAAAACTGATAATTTTACAACCTTGATGCTACAGATCAAATAACAGGACTGAATGTGCCCTAGCTCCAAATATCACAATATAGGTGGTATGTGTTCCTATCGGGCTAACCTCACCTACTTCAGGGAAGAAATTGGTCAGCAGCCATACTTGGACAATGGCAGCATGACCGTCGCCGTGGCCTCGCACCGCCAGTGGCCGGCGCACGCGCAACACACCAGGTCCTTCCGCTTTGGTCACCACTTGCCACTCTTTGCCTCCATTAATGACACCACCTCAGCGACTAGCCACCATAGGTTTGGCCCCAACAATCACTTGAAATGAAAGTTGAGATTACAAATACGGCAAGCAGGAAAGCCGGTGAAATCAAACTGCAGCATCATGCCATTCTCCTCTCAAATATGGCCGTAAAGCAACACAAGAAGGGATGTTTTTACCTCTCAAATCTGTTTGCCGACACCGCCGCTGTGGTGGAGGAGGAGGCCACCATGTAACACAGAACATGTAACACAAGAAGGATGGCAGTGTTTTATCAGACTTGATTTGTACCTGAAGGGCGGCATGTTGGTGGGGAATGCGTAGATGCAGAGAACCATCTCCATCGGCCGGCATGCTTGGTCCGCCACAAACCGCACCGGATCTCATCGCTGTGTTCTTGTATCCGCCCCTGCCGAGGTCAGAGCACAATCCACACCGCTGCTGATTTACTCCAATCCATTCTTTCTATGAAAAGAAGAAAATCGAAATATCAAAAAAGGAACACAAAACTGAGTTCAACTTCAACCGCACATCATTATGCACGCTGCAAACCTTACCTCCGTGAGACACGCACCAACAGCGGGAAACACGACGATGATACCAGCAATGCAGCACCAAAGGATGGGGAGAAGCTGTGCCGCCAGTCGATCTGCGGCGCCCTCGCTTGATCCGCCGTTGGTCCCATTCGCACGAAAGGGGAAGAAATGAAGACATCAACCGAAGAGGCAGGGAGGGGAGAAGACAGAGCGACGCGACGAGGCGAGGACGAAGAAAGTATTGGGGTGGAGGCGCTCGAGGATGAGGAGGCCAGCGCGAGCTCGCATCCGGCGCTGCACCCGTCCCCCGCCGCCTACGCCGCGAACGCCGCGGCCGTGAGGACAAGGATGAGGAGGAAGGTGGAAGCTTCCACGGCGGGAGGTCGCTCGTGACGAAACCCTAGCGACGGGGCGGGGACGGGGATGGGGGCGGCGACGCGAGGCGTGGACGGGGGCAGTGGTGGCCGGCAACGGAGGCGGTGAAGGGCGGAGAATGGACCGGCGGCGGAGGAGGAGGATGGCTGAGGGAGAGGGAGGAGGGGCGGCGCGCGGGGCGGCGGCGGCGGCGGCGACGCGAGGCGGGAGAAGGAGAGGGAGAGGGCGAGACGGGGGACGGGAGGGACGAGGAGACGAGCAGGCAGCGGCGGGCAGGTTGGGGGCTTGGGGCTGGGCGCACGGCGTTTTTGCGAAAAAGACCCTCGTCTTTCAAGTTTTACAGCGCGACCCTAACTCGCCACATCTCCCTTCCTCCTATGCAATAACTGTATTCACCAGAGGCCTAAACGTAAATAGACAACTCGGTGGGACTGTTCATGGAGGACGGCGGCCGAATTACGCGCGAAGCGGAGGGCCTTTTCACAAAAATGCCACCCCGCGCGCTGTATATACTGTAGCAAAATCCTTACGTGGCACCCCTCCTCGCTCGCCCCATGTGCGCCGCTTTATATATTCCGATTCCGATTCCGTTTACAGGTGGAATTAATCACCTGTGGTGTGAACACATAGGGAAGCAGGGGAGGGAGCTCCTGCTCCTGCATGACGTCATCCGGCAGCGGTAGCGCGGTCCTCAGCCACGCCCTTTGCGGCACGGCCAGTGGCCTCCGTCCAAGATCCCCTCGGTGCCGCGGCTTGGGGAGAGAGGCGGCTGGCGAATCAAAAGGCAGGCAAAGACGGACGTAGCGATGCACGTGATTTCACCCTCCCCATCCCCAAGCACGGCAACCGAATTCATCGCCACATCCAGCGACGAGGTGAATCTGTGCCACTGCCGCCGAGCTTGAGGGGAGAGACGCACAGAACAGCGCGCCGGCGCGTGGGAGGGTCGGCCTCGGGCGCCGGAGGGGCGGAGGTGGAGCTGGAGCTGGAGCGTGAGGAGGAGGAAGAGGCGGCGACATCGGCGTAGGTCGACCTCCGACGAATGAGGCGGAGGAAGCGGGGGCGGGGCTGCCGGCGGAGAGAAGGGCATAGCAGGGTATAACTTTTTCAAAAAGACCCCTAAAACCTCACATATTACAAAGAGGTCCACCGCAGCTATTCCACACCGTTGATCATCGATCCGACGGCTGAGGGAGAGGACTAACGCTGGAATCGTATTGTGCCACGTGGAGGGGTTGTTTGCACGCGAATCGGCAGAGATTTCGAAATTAGAGATTACGCCAATGCATCAGGTACAACATTTATATCATCCACGTATACGTGGAATAACTGTAAAAAAACATTTGTGATTATTATTTTTTAATACTAAACTGCTTAAAAATCGATCAGTTAAATTTATCCACCGTAGTACAATCGTTACGCTAACGCGTCAGGAACATCGCTCATATCATACACATGTAAAGTGGAATATTTTAAAAAAAACTTTGTGATTATTATTGAAATACTAGACTGTTTAAAAAATTGTTCAGTTAAATTTTATCCATCGTGACATCACTCTGTGCGCAAATATAGAGCATATTATTTATCTAAAAACAAACAATTTTTTTTGAGCAGATTAGTTCTCTAAACCAAACAATACTTTTTGATCGCTATACACACTCCGTAAACACCCGGTGCAACGCACGGTCACTTTTGCTAGTCTATATATATATAGCATGTAGATTCGATAGTAAACAATTTACTAGTAAATTTGGGAGGGGTAGGGGGCGCCGGTGGTTGGGGTGCACGGGGGTGGGTTGGGAGGGGTGGGGGTAGGATGTGAGGGGGAGCATTTTAGCTACTACGTACGCCAGATGCGGTATAGTATGTATATATATATATATATATATATATATATATAGTAAATTTGTTAGGGGCACCATGGTGCCCGGGCTCCATAGCCATCCACCGTCCAAATGCTTTAAGATCCGTGCAACACACTAGAGGATGCTATCACACATTAACGGGTCTAACCCGATAAGAGTTGCATGCATATACTTTCCTTAGAACATGCATGCAGGTATTTCCATTTTTACTGTGCATGTATTTCCAAATTTGCGCCCTCTAATCATGCATACACATTATGATTAGCACTTTCCATTTTCTATATCACATTTCCATATATACAACGTTTGCATGCAGATACTTACCTTTTGAATCATGATTCGTTTTTGAAAAATGACGCCATTCCACTAATTGCGATTATTGCCATCTATTTTCAAGATTACATTCCATTTTCAAGATGCACATATAACCGGCTACTGTATTCCTTTTTTTGATTTTTCTTTTCCACACTGTTTCACGGTCCAAGAGCTAGCTATCCACATCGTCTTCACCGAGTTACCTCGCCGGGATTGCTCGCCATGCCGTGAAGAGGGCCGACGTCCGTGGTTTTCGTCACCGACGACGTTCGTCCACAAGCCTCTTGCTGGAAACCAGAACTCCTCAACCATTTTTGTCAAGCCATCACAGCGCCTGATGTCCAAGTGCCTTTTCGCTGCCGTCGCTGGTTGTTCGTGAGCTTCGGAACAGACATTATTCACTAGCAAGCTGCATTACCTGAAAGGTATGGATCTCAGTGTTTATCACTCACACATCTTACATTCACATGCAGTCCCTGTTATGTATAGATGATTCGCCATTCCTCTTCTTTTTATCTACTAAACTGAGCACATGATGAATCACCTGGAACCTAAATTTATAGATTTTTTGTTGAAATGCAGTTGAATTTAGATTGTTTTAGGTATATAACATGCCCGTTCGAATATCTTGATTTGCATCCAGTGAATAAAATTTAGGTAGGTAGTGAAACAGCAGCAATGTCTCTTTTACGTGGACATCTCAATTATAATCTTTGTAAATATAGATTTAATTAATTTTAAATTGAAGTATATGACCCGAAGAGAATCATATTGCTTGTTTTAATAATGGTAGTTTTTAATAGCATGCCGCGGCTTCCAAAGTGTGCGAGCATGAGAAGAAATGTGAAGCGTCGTTCCATTCACGATGATGATGACTTTGTCACTCCACCTACAAGGAAGAAGGCTGTTCGTGTTAAATTCGTGGCACCGGTTTCGCGTTGTGTACCATCTTCCATCACACCTATCATACAGAGATTTAGTGCTGAAAAGAAAGAGCTGGTAGCTGAGATAATTATGTCATTCATCTTGTGGGATATACATGTATACGTGTTCGCTCTGTCACTCATAAACCTATGTGTACATGTACACCTGTAAAAGTACAGATTATGTCATTAATCTTGTGGTATTCAGACGTGCATTTTTTCACTCTCTCTCTATCCCGTTGACTATGGCCAATTAGTACCGAAATCACTCGTTGGTTACTAAATTAATCAATTGATACCCAATTCTGACTGGATCGATCCATGCTGACGGTAACAAATTATATTATGTAACCTATCGGTCGTAATAGCTATAAATATTACCATAAATAAGATCTTTATACTTGGTAATGATATTAATTTTTTCATTCCTTCCAACGGAGACACAATTGCAACATATAAAGAGCAGAACAATACGACTCTGCTCACTTCTGGTGCTCTCTCTGGTTCTCGCCAACAACACATTTCTGTTCCAGGTATGGCTCCAACTTATCTGTACGTATATGTACTTCTCATATATGTTGACCTCTTCTTAGTATTCTGAAATTTATACTTATATTGCCAGTAGCTATGGACAAGATGAACACTAGTGCCCGGAGCGAGAAGATCGATCAGTCGCTGCAGAAGTATGATCACCCACGCTGCCGTTGGCACATATTATTTGGTACGAAGTCAGAACTACACAACTTATATCATGCACGCACAGCAAGTGATTTTGAAGATACTTGGACGGCCCTAGTCAATGAGTATGGTCTTCAAGAGGAGAATGCATATCTCCAAAAGGCGCAGATGTTAATAGACGATGAAACGAAGCCCAATGATTCACAGGTAATTTATTTTAATATATTTTTGGTTCACGTTCAGCTCCAGTTCTGGATTTGTCACTCCTGCTCTTAACATTTTCCACTTGTTTTTTTTTCGTAGGAGATAGATACAGACCGTAAAGATGTCAAGAGGGAGGTGGAGGCTCCTAAGTTGATCATTTCTCGTCATAGTGATGATAAATTCTCATCCTAGTGATGAGAAATGAGACTCGCCCACCGTCTGAATAGCAAACATGAGGCAACATGCAAGTACCAGCCGAAAATCAACTCTCTGATGGTGTGATATGGTTGCCAGCCATCGGTCAAATAAGCAGCCATTTTGTGTTTTTACATTTATGAATCACAATCGTACTGTAATAATAAACTAGTTACATCTATATTTATATTTATAGATCGTTTTTACTTTAATTAGCATATGTTTCATTTATATTATGCTAAACTCCTATGATATGTGGATGAGCCAATTCACCGATATTTTGTTTCCTTTCAGACTTCACTTAAGAGATCTACTCTTCCAATTCAGCATATTAAACTTCTAAAAGCGCATCTAAAACACTGTGGAAAGAAATTGAATTTAATCTAAATCGGCACATATGGAAAAACATGGTGGAAATAATAATACACAGTACACACATTTAAATTTTAGATATACTTAAAATCCATGGTACAAAAATATACTTGGATATATTTATATTAAATTTTACATCCGGACGTAACGACTTAAAATATACTTGGTTCCAAATTTAATTAGGAAATAATGTACTGTCAGCCTAGGTAGGCGAGTTTTAAATTCTAATAATCTACAGTACACACATTTGAAATATAGATATACTTAGAAACCATGGTATACAAAAAATATGCTTGGATTAATTTATATAAAATTTTACATCCGGACGTAATGACTAAAATATACTTGGTTCCAAATTTAATTAGTTTCCAAACTTACTATTTACAACAATATTAAATGACAATAATAAAATATACCGTGTACACAAATTGTAAATTTATATACGCTTGGATTCATAATATAATTAAATTAACGTAATTTAAAACTTTGTATACTTAACAAGTTAGCTAAGTATATAGAAAAAATAACCCGTGTATACATAGCCATTACATTACATAAATGAGTAAACATTTTCTGAATCTGGAAAGTGCAAAACGCACTAATTTAGCTAGGTGTACATAAGCATACCATATACTTAGCCTCCATATATACTTATATTCCAATTACATCGTTCATGGTGTACTTAGGGTACCTCGGTTTCCTTATATAATTATTTTCAAAATAACAGCAGGATAACATTTCCATATATACTACATCGTAGAAGTATACTTAGATTTTTCATATACCCTAATAAACCGCATTATATTTGTTGCCAAATAAACCGCAAATCCATGATTATGGTGACAAATATTTAGAAACCAAATAACGGCCGTGAACTGTTGATGGAAAGGTATTAAAGACGCTAAATTGATACTCCTAAATATTTTGCATGCATGCACAGGCTGTCAATTACCAAACCTAGGTATTAAAGACGTTACTAAATATTTTGCATGCATGCACATGCTGTCAATTTCCAAATCAAATGTACTTAACGGGTGAACCCGTTAATCAAATATACATGTACCGATCAACTAGATGAGAATGTGATCCAACGGCAGATGTCAGTGGTGCCCGGGCACCATGGAGCCCTATCTGGTTTAGGGTTTAGGGTTTATATGTATGTAAAATTGATCTGGAATGTGGCGGTTACATGGGCCTGAACTGATGTGAGGAGAAAATTTGTTCTACTTGCTAGGACATGATATGATCTGGACATGAAAACGGAAAACGTGGAGCAATTTGGGAGGGGGCGATATGGAGGAATCGGACCGGAAAATCGTAAAAAAATACGCACAGGGAGGAAAAGAAATTGGACTGCGCAGCGCATTATACTGGGACAACGTACAAAAATACTTGGCAAAAGCATCTTAAACATTTATGATAGGTAAAGATCTACATATTTCAATAAAAAAAAGTCCTACCTAAAATTTAAAACTAACTCAAAATTTGAAAACTTTGAACTCTCAACATGAAATTTGAACTTTCAACTCGAATTTTGAAACTTTTAACCTGATTTTAAAAACTTTCAACTTGAATTATGAAAACTTTCAACTGGTAATTTAAAAACTTTTAACGCGATTAAAAAAATTTCTAACTCAAACTTCTAAAACTTTCAACTCGAATTATGGAAAATTTCAACTGAAAATTCATGATCTTTCAACTATTTTTTAAAACTGTGAACTATCCTAAAAAAATAATTATTGATGTATTTTTTTAAAAAAAATATTACTCCAGTACATATTACCATTAGCGCTAATTAGGTCATTTGCGGACTAATCACCCCGGGTGCGGGCATCCCAAATAAAAGCCTTCGCTCCACCCGTCAACGTCTGTTTGTTGTATTCCCCTTCCTTACCCCCAAAATCGAAATCCCTAATTCGACGCCATGGCCGCGACTGGCGGCGCCGCCGGGGAGAAGACGGCCAGCAGCCTCCTGCTCGGCGTCCGGGGCTACACGTCCACCCTCAAGAACGCCTCCACCGCCAGCTGCAGGTTGAGCGCCGGCCATCCCATCGAGGTGACTTTGTGGGAGGCGTCCCCGCCTGCCCTCTCCCACTTCTCCGTCCACTGCCCCGATCTCCCATCCTTCAATGGCAATCTGCTTGGCGCGCCTAAAGCCATCGCCGCCGCCGTCGACGACGCCGACGGCCAGCTCCTCCTCCTCCTCCGAGTCCCCATCGATCAGCTTGGTGCCCCGCATGACAACGACTACTTGGTCTACCATCCGGATCCCCCGTCTCCGAAACTGGATCTGCTCCCCAACCCGCCTCCCCCTACCCTCGGTGACCACCAGCTCGCCATACTCAGCTGCGGCGACGACCGCTACGTCGTGGCCGCCCTCCACGTCTGGAGTGAGTTCACTTCCACGCTGCGCCTGTACAGATCTTCTTGTTCGTCTGGGAGTTGGACATCGGAGGAGGTGTCCGTGGAGGAGCCGGTGAGGGACAGGCTGTGCCCGATCCCGGACTCAGCCAAGAGGCAGCTGTACCACGTCACCACCAAGACCATCACGCTCGGAGGTGCGAAGGGCACCGTGGGCTGGGTTGATCTCTGGCGCGGCATCCTCCTCTGCGACGTGCTCGACGAAATGTCTCCAAGGAAGCTCCGCGACATGCCGCTGCCGTGGCCGGCCAAGGGCAATTGGAGGAGGTACCTCAATGAAGATGTGTCCTTCTGTCGGGACATCGCCATCAGCCAACACAAGGATTCCATCAAGTATCTGGAGATGGAGATCGTTTCGCCAAGAACGGTGACCACCACCATACCCACCTCCACCTCTGCAGATCCTACTTCATACCTTGAATGGGTTCGCCGCAGCAGAGAACCTCAGCCGACACGGCGACGCTCCGTGTTCCACCCTGGTTCGTGGAGAATCACTACATGGAGCATGCCTATCCCGGTCACTTCATGGGACGACTGGCGCCGTGACTGCACTGCTGAATCGCGTGAAGTCCATCTTGACACCAACCCAAGTCACCATTACGAGTTGCTTCATAGCCTCATGCTCAGCAACAGCAGTGATGAACACAGGGAGGAGGCTCAAGGTCAAGGGGCAACCTCTTCCTTGTCCCTAGGTCGCCTGCGTTTGTGTTACCCGGCCTTGAGTTGCATCGATGATGATGTTGTTTACCTCTTGGGCAACGCTGCTGGCAGGGGTGCTAAGACGGGAGGAATGATGGTCGCTGTTGACGTCAGGAACAAGGAGCTGCGAGGAGTGGCCAAGCTTGACCCCGAAAAGAACACCCTCTACTCCATGCGATGCTACCTTGCAACTGGGATCTCCAAACGCCTCAACACTACCACAGGTACTTAATTACCGCTCGTATTCCAGAACAAATGCAGCACCATGTGCATATGGGTAATAAAATGCCATTTAAGGATCTAGGGCTGATCATTATAGTTCTTTGTTTATGATGGTCCGAATGACCAAACTAGGACTAGAATGTAGTAACTTTATTTAGGGTGATAGGCTTGATATGTTGATACAAGGGCAGAACAGTACCAAGAGTCCTTTTGGCAGAGTAGTACCAATACTCATTATGCAATATACTGTTTTGTGTGAGTTTCAGACAAACGTTGTGTTTCTGACTGTACTTGCAAAAACAAAACCTGAACTTTGTTAACAGAATAAAGACACCTCCACTAAAATGTCGACGACTAATGCATAAAATTACTTGCATTCTTCGTGAAAATTCATAGCAGTAAATGTGTCGTCACTCTTGTTTCCTTGTCATTATGCGTGTAATATATTTTGCTAGCATGCATTTAAATATGAAGTAATTAATCAAAGTGCATTCGTACCATGTCAAAAGAACAAGAGAATAGAGCAAGTAATAATAAGGTAGTACTTGACCAAAGCATACTTGAAAAAGTAGTATATTGCTTTAGGTTTTGCTTTTCCTGTTGTACTCAATGTGGACAACATGAATGCTCTTCCTCTTGAGTACTAATTCTTGCTTCAAGGACATTTTATGAGATAATAGCTATTTTATTTGATGTAGACACAAGAGTTGGACGACCTGAGGAGGATGCAGAAGCCGCCGAGTAGAATGTGCGAACCCAGTGACATATATGCATCATACTGCAGCCTGCCTGGATGCAAATATTATCGTATCAGTGGTTTGTTGGCTTGAATGGGGGTTAAGGAGTTGTGCTGTTGCTGGGCATATATAGTTTTGTGACAAGAATCTTATCCAGGTTGCTTACTTTGGGTTGATGATAAAAGTAGGAGTAGACGTGAATAACATTAATATATGTTGGCTTATTTTTTGAGGGGATGTTGGCTTATTTATGTGGCACTAATTGTCTTTATGCCTTTGAGTTAAACACAAAACAATGATCCAACTCTTTGAACCTGTTTGTTTCAAGTAATGAGTTGATGAATTTTTCACCACTTGGAGTCCTCCCTCAAACTGGATCTGCTCCCCGCTGCCTCAAACTGTTTTTTTTTTTTGAACGAATGTGTTTTCTAAGTTCATTCTCAGAACAATGCCCGCCATCAGATTCATCGACTAGCATAGCAAGACAGTATAACTTTTTACCAAAGAAAACTGATTATATAGTATATATAGAATACTTGTCTTACACACAGTGACAATCCAACAATATCTATGCAACAGGAATAATATGTTAGTGTGCAGATCATACCCTCTCAACTCTGAACTCTTCTGCAGCAGGGAGTTCAAGATATATTTTGTACATAGCTGACAGTGCACCATTCCGGACAGCGGGACAGAGAAGCTCCAATCAAAAGTCTCCGATGTTCTGTCTTATCTTCTAGGTTTTCGGGCTTGGCTCAATTGGAAAGGCCCAATTGATTTTGGGCTTGAGTACAACGCAGCATAAGGCGCCACCGATTAGGCCCAAGTACAGGTATACTCAATTAATTACCACTACTACCACTACAGGTATACTCAATTAATTACCGCTCCTTGTTGTCATGTCTGTTATTTGCGTGCTGTTCTACGAGAGATTAATCTCTTTGGCTTAAATTTCTGTCTCAATTCTTAACATGCATAACAGATTTTAATCGGTCAATATATAAGTTAGGCTAAACTTTGTTGTGTTCCTTTGCTTGCCGGCATGTAAGTTCCGAAGAATTTTGTTTAAACTCTATAATGTTTGGCCAAGAAAATTTCTCATATCTAGCTAAGAAGAACTAAAAGGAAAAGAGCTGCTGCTCTTGTTCGCCAGTAATCTGCATCAATGGATAGTGTATACTGATCATTCCGGCGTTGACATGGCGAAAAGTATTTTGTCAATAGGAAGGAGGAGAATCACACGCCAAGTGCATGCATGATTTTTCAATTCATTTCAAGGCAAAGTTTCTAGACAAAGCTAGGTTCTCGATAAGCCGGCCACTTTGATTTGATGACAATTAGGTTAATTAAGGCAATCTTCTTGCCTTTCCTTTTCTATCAATAGTGGACAAAGGTGAGAGCTGATATTTATTATATCCTGTTAGCCATTCAGAAAGTGCTTTCCATGACATTCCAAACGAAATGATATTTTTCTCATGTTCAGTCGGCCATGCATCTTCAGTTTAACTAAACAAGTCAAAAAAAAAAAACTTATATCCAACATAAGATATATATGCCCTATGAGCATAAACGCACTCAGTGATAAAATATACTAGTAAGAGGTAAAGCTAAGGTGAATGCTGACAAGAGACAAGCCCATCTGTCCCTCAAAGATAACAAATACTACTACTGACTGAAACAAAATTAAAGCATGATAGCCACTTCTGAATTTCTGAATGGCTGAAGGGGAAAAAAATTGAACAGGATACTGCATGCTGATCGAGTTGAACAAGTAAGAAAAGGTGTTCATCTTTGCAGAGACAAGATCTAACACATTTCTAACTGCAGAGGTAGTTCATAGCATCCATCGATCACCTACACACAATATCCTCTCTCATGCCTGACCCCTGCACAAACGCACACCGGATTGCAAATACACATAATTTAGATCTTTCTAATGATTTTGTATCGTCAGATAATCTTGCTTGTTTTGGTCGACCTTCAGAATTGAGTTGATGAAGTTCGTCGCAGTGAGCTCTTTGTAGGCATCACCAGTGCAGCAACCTCCTGTTTCAGCTGTCCAAGCAGAAGTACAAGTGCTCGTCACATGAATGATCAAATCACAACATTTCAAAAGTAATGAGTTATTATCAACTACTACCTCCATCCCAGAATATAAGAACCTATGGTCAGATGGGATGTTTCCTAGCACTACGAATCTGGACAAAAATAGAAAACGCATCATCCGATTCTAGATTCTTATATTCTGAGACGGTGGTAGTAATTAATTAGTGATGTGAAGATCACTTGTGAATTGAATTAGTGATGAGTACCTCTTTGCACTGCTTCTTGAGATTCAAGTTGTCATCCACCAGCCGGCGAACCTCTTTCTCTAGCTCTTCAACGTACGCCTGCATAACAAATTACTTCACAATTAATACAATCTGAATCGTATTAATATGACAGAACTGGATTCATTGACAAGTAGGCAGTCTGTTTTTTTTTTGGGGATGCTTATTGCCCTTTTGGTAGGTACAAATGCATGGTTAGTTCTGAAATGGAGTACCTCTAGAGTCTAGAGAGGTTAGATGGAGACGGTAAAAGGAGCTCCTCACTAGCAGCAGGTGTGATCCAATTAATTCATAGTGCAGTCCTATTCAGATGATAGATAGTCGAGATAATGCCAAGCTAGTTTTCATATTTTCCTCTTGTCCCGATCAACTTAAGTTCTTTATGCTTATTTAATTAGTCCGTACCTAACAAGAGAAGTATATATTAGCGTGAGACTATCTGTTAAAATATCTCAAGCATACGAGGAAGACTTTTTCTTGGGGGCAGGAGTAGTTAATTGTGATGTAAGCTGAGTCTAACGTGGTGATTATATTTTGGGATACCTTGTGTCATGCATCGACCCAAATATAGTTAATATCAACTGGGACATTATGTTCATTTCTTTTTTGCTTAGAAGGTTCGATTTGTCGTTGTTAACAGTCTCTATTTAATCTGGAACTCTTACAAATTCAGGGGCACCAATTTTCTCTAATGTTTAATCAAGAAAGAGGATACATGTAGCAATTAGCAAATCATTCAAGAAAAGAACATAATTGCACATTCGTTTTTTCGATGGTAATTGTGTTAACTACTTAACTTTAGGAGTGATTTGGGATATTTACTATTGATGATCTATTGAGTTGGCCTAAAGGGTATATATGCGTACAAGGGATGGAAAATATATATAATACCCATGACTACACTACTATTGTTAACAAATTGCACATTCTTTTTTTCCGCACATTCTTTTTTTATTATTATGTACTATTAATTAGTGATATATATATATATATATATATATATATATATATATATATATATATATATATATATATATATATATATATATATATATATATATATATATATCAGAGTGAAACCAGCTAACCACAAATTACCAATATGCATGGAGAGACAAGTAGACACCATGTCCACGAGGATATCATACATATATATACACTCTCTGGTATGGGCCCTTTCTGCTGGACTTGGAATCTTGGATTAGGTGAAGCTGACTTAATTTTGATATTAATTATCACACAAGTGCCTGCTTGGATGATGATAGACTGGTAATAAAAGAAAGGGCACTAATCAAAGAAGAGATATGCATATTTAGGCCATATTGACTAAACATTATCAACAGGAACCTATGCATGATGCAAGAGATAACACACTCCATCAACTTTTTAGTTCTTTAACAAATTGACCAAACTTGGTCACTATACTCGAGAGTTTCACTCCATACAGTATCTGCCCAAGGTACACACAGATATCTCCTCCATGCACCATCATCAAGGATATAATGTAAAATATATAGACTAACTCCTTTATGAAATGTAATGAAATTTGCTCATATATATTCAGTTGTGTAAACTAACCAGTTCAGCTCAGCTCAAAAACTTAACGATGAATAACGACGTGACTGCAATTTACTGATAATTCAATGTGCAAATTATATAATTTCGCCTGCTACAAACTTCTATTGAAAACCTAATTAATTAAATTATCGCATTCCAACAATGACCTTATAAGTGATCGACTTATTAGCAGCATTTTATTTTTGTGAAAGATCCAGTTTTAATTAAATTCTAATTATATTCAGTTTTTGAAAAGAGAAATTTCCATGTTAATTACTCCCTCCGGACATAATTAAGTACATGCCGGCCGTTTCAGACAATTAAATTGGCCTGCGTTTAATAGAACGGAATTGCTTTGTCGGAAAGCACAAGTAATATTGATCGGAGAGAGTACATATGAGAACATTTGTTGATGATCAGTAGTAATTCATACCGTACGTTATAAACACATACGTACATAAATACTGTAGTATGATACGTATAATTATACGTATTTGGTATTGTATATACGTACGTACCCTCTTGCGCGCCCTGGAGCGAAGCGCGGACTCCCGGTTCCTCATCATCCGGATGGTCCTCCGGTCGTCGCCGCTGCCGCCGCTCTGCTGCCGCACCTCCATGTCCACCTCGTCGCCGCCGGGGGTACTGGCGCCGCCGGCGATCCCGGCGAGCGACACCGGCGTGGCGGGCAGCGCGGCGCCGGCGAGGCGGACGCCGCCGCCGTCGTCGTCGTCCCTCAGGGTGGAGATGGAGAAGAGGGAGCTGCAGCCGCTCATGATGCTCAGCTGCGGGCTGTCCGGCTCCCTCGGCCACGCCACCGCCGCCGCCGCCGCCATCTGGTAGTACTCCTGGTGGTGGTAGTTCGCCATGGCCGCACCCTGCACCTGCACCTTCTTGCTTGTAGCTGCAGGATCCTTAATTCGATCGCCAACAGCTGCAGTTAGTGCTCCTTGCTTTTGGTTGTTGTTGCTAAGCTTGTCTCTGGCTCTCTCTCTCTCTCTCTCTCTCTGGATGTCTACATATATAAATAAATCAGACTTAATTAAGCTAGCTTCATGAGACAGCTAGCTCAACAGCTGCTAGCTTTTAAGCCTTTAAGTACCAACAGTGTCATTATGCGTGTAATATATTTTGCTAGCATGCATTTAAATATGAAGAAGTAATTAATCAAAGTGCATTCATACCATGTCAAAAGAACAAGAGAATAGAGCAAGTAATAAGGTATTGACCAAAGCATACTTGAAAAAGTAGTATATTGCTTTAGGTTTTGCTTTTCCTGTTGTACTCAATGTGGACAACATGAATGCTCTTCCCCTTGAGTACTAATTCTTGCTTCAAGGACATTTTATGAGATAATAGCTATTTTATTTGATGTAGACACAGGAGTTGGACGATCTGAGGAGGACGCAGAAGCCGCCAAGTAGAATGTGCGAACCCAGTGACATATATGCATCATACTGCAGCCT